ATCCCCGGTACCAGAAAAAAAACCCAAAAAACCAAACAAACAAAAAAATAGACTATGAAGGTATTTGTATTGTACTCCCAGGAAGAGAAACAGCTATGTGACCAGTCCAGTCCAGTTGCAAATCTCACCTCATAACTCCCAGAGGACAGGCTAATAATGCTTGTAGAACTTGGGTTCTGAACTTCATTTCAGCATCAGCTCATAACCTACTCAGCAAGCCCTGTGCACATGACTAAAGTTATAGCACTTCATCATCAAAGGAGTGTGAACCTACACTATGTTGGAAAAAGTGATTTTCATAACTTCTGTAAGTTAGAATGCCTTCTCCTGTAAGTATCATTTGGAAAGAAGCACATTTCTCCAAGAGGAACACATGGTTTGGTTTCTCTAGTTTGAGCTAGTCAGTCCAAGAGCTTGAGGTAAATGGAGTCAGAGTATGTATAAGGTTCCTGATTAAAATAACTCCTAATGAATTAAAAACAAAGCAGACAAAAGAGTCTAAATAAAATTTTGTACTCCAGTTGTTAGTTTTTCTGCTTCCCTTCAAAGGAAGCTTTTCCTGTAGATGCACATATATCTCCCTCTTACACTGACTCCCTTTTTATAACTCTCTCTTTCACATTTTCCCTCTTTACCTAAAGCACCATCTCATTCTTACCTGAATCCACCCAAGTTATACCTGCAGATCATAAATCTGCTAAAATAAACTCTGAAGGTCACCAGGGACCTCTGACCTACCAGATACACTGGTTATTCTTTGCCTTCACTCATCTTCTCAGCAGTTTTGGGTATTACTGACAATTTCTTCCTTCCTGAAACACACAGTTCTCTGAATTTCAGTGTATGACATCATGCTCCTCCTCACAGGCCAGGGCCTCTCAGTTTCCCTTGGAAGCTTTTCTTCTAACCCTGAAATCAAGAACATTCTCCTTTTTTGGCCTTGTGTTAGATAAGGCTGTTCAATACCAAAATTTAAAGACTTAAAACCTGTGCGTGCATGTGTGTGTAATTCTGCATTTTTTCGACTTTTTTTTTTTTTGGTACCAGGAATTGAACTCAGGACCTTCTGCTTACCAGGCAGGCACTTATGCCACTGAGCTATACCCCTGGCCCAATTTCTACATTTTTATCTTGCATCATTATCTGTGAACTCCAGGACTGAAATGCCAACTGCCTTTTGAACACAAACATCTATCTAGTTCAGGCAACTAACCAGCAGCCAATGGGTATAGCTCTTTCCTTCCTCTTCTGCATGCAGGCTGACAGCAAACCATGCTGGCTCTGTCTCCAAAACTGATACTGAATGCTACCGTTCCTGTCTGTGTTGCTACCTCCATCAACCCTTAGCCTCTCTACTGTCCGTTCTTTCCATAGCAGCCCACACGGTTTCTGACACATGGAACAGGTCACACCTCCACCCTGTAGTGTTTTTCGGTGCACAAACATAAAAGCTAAGTACCTCGAGAAAGCTGACCAGATCCTGAGGTTTAGTCCTTGCCGTTCCTCATTCCCTGTCCTGCCGCTCTCTCCTTGATAACTGCACCAGGAATGTTGCAATTCTGTGTTCTCTCCTTTAACAGCAAGCATTTTTCTACTTGAGGTTCTCATGCTAAGCATTCTTTCAGCAATATTCTTGCTACTTATCTTCAGATGTTGTTCCTGTTTATTTTATAGAGCTGAACTTAAATGTCACTCTCAGGTATTTCTGACTTGCTACCATTATTCCGTTACTATGTTTTCTTTTCTTCTTAGCACTGCTTGCTGGCTAAATTCTCTGCCAGAATATAAATTCATTAAAACATGTACCTGTTGTTTTCCAAAAACACTGCATTCCCCAGAACCTAGAATAGTATCTAGCACACAAAGTTGTCACTATTTATTGTGTTAATAAATGATGCTAACTAGATCTTACAAGCACTATTTTAACTGACACCTGACTTGCAACAAGAAGACCCCTCCATCACTCGAGTACTCCTGTAACTTTGCACAAGTTCCTTATGCTCTGAGCTACAATTTACCCCCATGTAAAAAATGGTACTACTTACTTTATAGGGCAGATATCAACGGAGGGTTAAATGAAGTGTCTCACAACACAGGGAATACTTGAAAGCAGTTCCTAATTTTCTCTTGCACTGTTTTCAAAGTGGATGTATTAGAACTACAAAAGATCCAGTTTTTTGACTTTAGGAAAATTTCTGTAGGTTTTTTTTTTTTTTTAGGTAGGAGAATGTTTTGGTTAAGATTCATGCATAGGGCTGGGGCTATAGCTCAGCAGCATAGCGCCTGCCTGGCAAGTGTGAGGTCATGAGTTCGATTCCCAGTACCATTTCTTTCCTTGAATAGCAGAGACAGGGAAAGAATTATAAAAGATTCACGCATAACCTAAATTAACTACCCATTCATTTTTCAGTAGTGGCTCCTCTCTTGTGATTTTTCACACACATGGTTTTCTGTCATTTCATTAAAGTCACTTAGTGGGAACTTCAGTGGGAGGATGAAGTTCTGAGGGTGACACTGAGTGGGCCTCCACGCCCACTCAAAAGCTAGAATCTTCTCCATAAAGTTCAGTCCTATACCTCAGTAGGGCAGCTTGCTACATGTTGCTACCCCTCCAAAAAGATCACTACAGAACCGGGACTCTCGTACTGCCAAAAAAGAACTGCTTATCGGGGGAGCTTCAACCACTGAGATAAGCAGACATCTTTTTCTGAGACTGATTTTTAATGACCATGAAAAGTACAACACAATGTCTCATCAAAGCAGCACATGAGCCAGGTGTGGGGGCACACACCTGCAATCCCAGAACTCGGGTGGCTGAGGCAGGAGGATCACCATGAGTTTGAGAGCTGTCTGGGTTACATTATGAGTTGAAGCCCAGCCTGTCTCAAAAAGAAAAAGAAAAAAAAAAAAAACAACAACAACAGTGCATGTGTGTAGACCGCATCATACTTACTGCAGGAGAACAACAAGGCATCTCCATTTGTCCCGGTGTCACTTCTGTATCATTTCCCCACTTCCTTCCCCATGGTTTCTACTTTTCGCGCTTGTTTACCCTTGCCATTGTCCCAGCTGCTCGCTTGATATGTGCCACAGTCCCCTTGTATAAACAAAAGAGCACTGAGGGCTGACTTCGTACCCCACTCAAAACCAAAAAGGAAGATTTTATGAAATAAGCCTAGCTACAGAGCATTTTCAGAGATTTCTGCGGCTTAATCATTATGCAGACTAAATTAACCTAAAACCACTTGAACTTTTTAAAAAGCAGTTACGCAATAGCTCCACTGATGTGAAAGTGCACAGCATCCTCTTCTTTATGTTCAACTAGTCCCAAGTTATCTTTTTGGTTTAACAGGGCACTTGATCCTTTGCTAAAACTTTTACTCCAAATGGTTTCTCTCCTATTACACACATTTGTTACTTTTGTAACGGCTTTATAATACTTTAACAGTAGGTGGTGCTACAAGCATACAAAAGTAAATTCAGACCAACAGAAGTGTCACAGCTTTATTTTGTGACTCATTACAACATAGAAATATGCCTTTAATACATCATATAAAGTTATTAACAATACAAATATTTTTCTGGTTTTTTTCCTTTTAATGAAAATGATTTAACTTAGAAATCTATCGTGAAACTTTTGTCTAGTTTTGCAATTCTCAGATATTCCAGTGCAAAAATAGATCCATTACAGACAGCATAAAGTGCTTGGAATGAAGGTCCAATGATGAAGAAAAAAGCACAAAAACAGCTCCATCCTAGGGCCTAAGAAAGGATAATAGCATACATAATACTTAGGGAAATACAGACATTCTATAAAGAGGGATGCAACAATGAAAAGAATTAGAGCATTCTTACTGTAGTATTACATTATCACTAGTAAATAGTAACAAGAGTACAAATTAATATCTCAGTATCAAAGTGGTTCACTATTATATGACACACGGCTCTTAGGAAAAATTTTTACCTGATATATACAACCATGAGAAATCTTAGACAAATCCCGTTAGTCAATGATTACTATGCAATGAATGAATAATGCGCAGCATTTAATAGTTACAGCGCATATGCATTCGGTGCAGGTATCAAAATACAGTAGTTTGAGGTTTGCATGTTTGTTTTTTAATAATGAATTGTGCTGGGTATTTAAATAGTGAGGACTTGTTATTTTCTTTAGCATTTCTCATATTCACAGTTAACAAGTTTTTCAAGGTGTCCAAAAGATGCAAAAGCAGAACCCTTTTGAACACTTCTTTTGAGAAGTTCTGAAACTCACAGTTACATTTCCACAGGGAATATACAGAAATTTTGATGGAAGGTAGGGTTGGTACCATAATTAGGTTTACACAGGATGATTTTTAAAATTACTATCTGGACAGTCCTGAAAAGGTAACACAATACTAATGAGGCCAATGTGTAATTGTTTCTAGCTTCAGAAAAATCTTTTTTTTTTTTTTTTTAGAAAAATCTTTTTAAATATAGAAGTACATTTTTTCAAAATAGTCCACAACGCCTTTTGATTCTTTGAAATATGACCTTAACATCAGACTAATTAAAGAGCTGCTCATGGATTTAATGTAATGAAGAATTAGAACATGATTACAGTGAGATAAGAAAGCAAGAGAAGTTTGATTTGGAAAAATCAGGAATTATTCTTTGAAGTTTAGTGAGTGATCTCATGCCAATAGTTATTACAAATATACTTTATTGTTTTAAAAAACAATATTAACCTTAATTTGTAAAACAATCATTTTAGTCACATAACAAAATTCTGTAAATTCACAGACAGACACTTTTGGAATAGATTTGAAATATTAGGCATTTAGAGTTAATATTTAATTATTGGAAAATGGTCAGAACTAATAATGTTCTCTCCTGTTTTTGTTTTTTCAAGATAGATGGCATCAAGCATCAGTGAAATATTTTTACAAGTATTTACTGACTAAAAAAAATAACATGAGGTTTTTAAAAGCCTGAAAAATATTCACTGTGGAAGCATTTTATTTTTTTCATGATAAGTTAGTGACTGAAAAGATGAAAAATTTTAAATTGTCAGAGATTTAACTGGGTGTCTAACAGACAAGATTACTTAAAGATACTAAATGTCTTAAGTACAAGTTGTGTTCGAAAAGTTTCCAAGCTAGCTGTCTTCCCTTTGAATTATTGTTGAGCCTTGTGACCTTTCTTGGCTTTTGCATTGTTGCTACTTTAAAAATGTCTGGCCAATATTCTTTCGGAGAGTTCCCACAACCGCAACCAAACAACCTATATTTGTAAACAAGTTAGCTGAATAACATGGCACAGTTAATTTAGTGAGACTTAATTTCTCCCCAACCCATACATACAAACATACATACGTACATACATACTCTGCTATACAAAAATACTTGATTGATGAAATGAAGTGAGTATTCTATGTGATCTTAAAGAAATCCAAATATAATGTCACCAGATCTTTAACCACATTGTTTCCTAGCTCCAGGCACTAGTTACATGTTCTATCTGCAAACCTGTGTAGGAAGATAGAAGTTAGTGAAGCCACATGGCCATACTCCCGTATGCCATGGGGTGCTACGAAGATGCCATTCTAAGGTTTCAGAAGTCACTAGTAGAATTTAAAATCCCAAATGACATTAATAGTACAAAGATTTCTGTCAATGAACAACTCTATTTTTTCATTGTCTACATTAATTTTTCAGAACCAGAAATAATACATTTGTGTCAAACAACAAAGATTTTGAGATGCAGTGTACCATGTTAGCAGATAATCAGGATAAATGGGCGTCAGCCTCCCTAAATTTGAATGCACCATCTCTTTCATTCCATGCCTTGATCTCAGCAGCTTACGGCCCCAGCAGTATAGCTGCTGATCCTTTGCTTACTGAGATCGAAGTGTATTTAAACAGTCCCAGAAAAATGACAGCCATGATTGCAAACATGGAGCAACATAACGTTGGAACCACGATTCTTGCGTGTCTAGAGATACCCATACTTTGCATGTTACAGCCACCAGAACAGCTCATCAAAGAGGGAATCAATGCAGAACTATAGCCAAACAAGGCACCATTTTGTCACCTGATACTTAATGATGTTGATACAGTCCAAGCATAGCAGCTTTCACAAAAAGTGTTGTGACACACCATGGTGCTTCAGACTTTCTGAGCAACTTGGCACTAGTAATTCTGGCACACTCATTGCCAGCAATGGATGTGTCACTAGGAAACCAGTCTCCTGGCATGACATGTCTCAGTGGATGAGGATGTACATGCCTTCTGATTTTTATAATCACTGGCCATAATTACTTGATGAATTATTGTTGCAATCCCAGTGAGAATACACAGGAACAAAAAAGTATGACTTCAAACCCACATGTCCATTGGGTTCCATACTAGAGTTTCACATAGATATAAGGTAATAAACTAAATTCAAGTCTTTTTCACTAGAGAGCCATACAAGTCATAGGCTACAAAGGCACTGCCCCTGTAATGGAATTTTGTTTTCATTGCATTGAATTGCATTGCATTGAATAGTATCAGTACAGTATCCAGTTTACTTCTTCACACAAAATCTTCCAGCTCTTTCCTCTGGAACACTTCACACATGGTGCAAAGGGAGATCTGGTTCTCCTTACTTTCAGCCAGCCTGTGTAAACAGGATTCTTCATACATAGCTTTCTTTCACTTTCTCATCCTGTAGAAAAGATGTGAGAACTGCGACATCCACTACTGTCTGGTTTTTGTGTAACGACAGGTCCTTTAAGTGGTCATCATCACTTTGGTCCTTGGCAAAGTTTACAAATACCTGTCAACAGGAAGTTGGACCTTTATGAGTACCTCTTAGTTTGCTTTATTTATTTATTATTTAATAATTAATTTATTTTCAATTCTGTTCTTCCTCACTGTTCTACACTCCGTATCTCCCAGCCCCGCTTCCTTTTGAGGGTCTCCTAAATTGCTAAGTTGCCCAGGTTGGACTTGAACTTGATGATCCTCCTGCCTCAGCCTCCCAAAGTTCTGGAATTACTCTTTCTTTATTTCAGTTGCATTTTTCCCTATGGTGAAATTAGGTCAATGGAAGAATACAGAATTGCATAAATAAGCTAACTAGACAACTGTGTGAAAGAGGAAAGAGTACATTGAAAACATCAATAATCATTTAAAACCTGATCTTCTATATCAGCGCCCCTCATAACAGCCTAGCCATCAGTTTACATTGGAATATACAGGCTTGATAAAAGCAAAGAGGGAAAGAACATTTACAGAATACCTACTAGGTGGCAGGATATGTCTGGTACATTTTGCCAGGGGTAAGGCATATGGCAACATGCCTGCCTCATGGATGGTAATCAGTGGTCAGTATTATGACTGTTAATACAACAAGCTTTCACAATAACCCTAGAAAATGGAATGCATCATCTCCCTTTTAGGGTTTGTGGAGGTTTACTAAAAACCATAGCTAATAATAGTAAATCAGGAATTCAAGCACAACATGCCTGAAACGCGGTTAGGCTTACGGTGGGGGATAAATGGGTAGGAATGCTCACCCACAGAAGTAACTCTATTTTTGATACTCAAAGCTTACTTGGTCAAGTGTTGTCTGAGAAACAGAGTAGTCTTCTATGTGGAGTCGCTTTTTGCTCTGGGAGAGGATGCTGAATATTTTGGCCAGAGAAGATAAGGAAGATGGAAGCTGATACTGTAGCATGTTCCGGTGTTTCTCTTTTAGGACACTTCCTGGAAAGGCAAGTCCAAAGAACTCCTGGACAGGCTTCAGGTCCGGGTTGGATCCTGCTATTCTGACAACTATCGTATAACCATCTCCAAACCTGAAAGCAGGAAGAAATATCCCAATGGATTATCTCCAGGAAGCTTATCGAAGAATCCTTAACCCTAAGAACCCCACTTGTGCTGTGACAAAAGGGAGGTCCCCGACAGACCCGGAGATCACAGGCTGAGAAAAGAAACTGGTTGTTACGTACTGAATGCCTAACTCTGTGTGGTGCTATGTTCAATGCCTTGGATACACAATTTTATTTCATCCTCACTGGACCCGTGAATATCTGACAGATGTTTCAGAGAAACTGAAAGCCCAGGGAGTAAGTTACTTGCTCAAGACACAAAGTTCATAAGGGGCAGGGGTAGGCTATGAACCCATTTGCACCGACTCCAAAGATTATGCTCTTAATCACATTATCACATGCGATTTTTTTCATTTTGTACATATAACAAAGCGAGGAAGTAATATTCCTAGGAAACTGACTTTCAGAGTGGTTAGGTAATTTGCCTATGAGTCACACAGCCAGCACATGGTAAGGACAAAATTTGAACATGGTGAAAGCATTTTTCTGGTACCAGGAATCAAACTCATGACCTTGTGCTTGCCGGGCAGGTGCTTGTGCCACTGAGCTATATCCCCAGCCCTGAACATAGGAGTCTGTTTGACTTCCAAGCCCTCCTTCTTTTCACTGTACCATTCTATTCAGTTTAATTTCTCTTTAGTTCTAAGCCACCATTTACATACTCACAGAAGAATTAAATACCAAGCTTTCTTTCTAGGCTCTATCCCAAAGAAATTATTGTTTTTACCTATTTTTAAGATGTTGGACACTGCCAAGACACCTGAACCTCCCATTGACCATAATTGCCATCCTAGTGCAAAGAGCTTCACATTCTTCCATGCTGTGGGAAAACATAATAAGGTTTTAGGTTTAGAGAGATGTTCCTATTGCCATTCAGAACCTCACCATAACATCTGGCATTGCAGGGAAACAGATTTCCAGCTTCCTAGGGCATAACGACATCCCTTTGCAAAAGATGAAGATGTAGAATGATGCTGCTTATTGCAGTGCTGCTTATAAGTGTGTACAAGTTGGAAACAATCCCAATGTCTACACAAAGGGGAACAGTTAAATAAATTAGGGTCTATCCTAATACTACCCAGTAATATGAAATGATGACACATCCAAATTTACTGACTTGGAATAATGTTCACAATCTATTAAGTGAAAAAAAAAAACAGTACCTACACTATGCTTGCATTTTGGTAAAACTACATACCTACAAGTGTATGTCGACTTGCACAGGGAAACTGCAAACATACACAGGCCAGTGATAAGAATAGTTGTTTCCAAGCTGTATAATTTCAGGTAAAATTGTTTTAGTCTTTGCCTTTCTGTATCTTCTAGGTTTTATAAAATCATCATATTGGAGAATTTAGTAATGTAGTGTAGAAACCAAACCAGGAGTATGCTACAGACCTATGAGACGTAAGCACTACCGATCTCCCCTCCTTGACGATGCTGAGAGCACAATTCCACAAGAATCTCCGGGCTTTAGGATCCATGCCTGTGGTTGGTTCATCCTGTAATTAGAGTAAGTTTTATTATTCCCTGGAATAAAAACCATAAAAGGTATATTTGTCCTATTTCCTCTTTGCCCCCAAAATACTTACCAGCAGCCCTTGTAGCTGCAGCATTTACCCCTAGCTAATTTACAGATCACCTCCCAAGTTTCCCATGAAATATCTCACTTTCATTCTTGGTATCAAGCATGAAACCAAGGCTCAGTGAAGTTTGGTCACTGTCAAATCTGCTGCTTGCACAACAACAATGGCAAGGAAGATGTATTTTTGCACAGAACGCGATGTTCTGCTTTGTGTTGTTCTGTGGTTTGAAATTTATCACCCAGAAAAGAATACTGATCATCATGTGGCTTCCTGTTACATTAGGATTAGAAGCAAGTTCTGTTTAGAAATAACTCAAAGAACAATTTTCCTATTTTATTTTCATTTGAAAACCAGTCCGATTTGCCTCAGCCTCAGAGAGTGTCTTCAGGTAAAACTGAATGAATGCTGAGAGCAAACTGCACTTGTTCTAAACAGCAAATGGTTAAATGCTGAAACATTCTTCAAGTGGCCTAAAATTTGACTTATCCTATTTATTTCTTGACAGGCTGGAAAAAAAAAAATCCAGTAAGTTTCAAACTCACTTGTTACAAGGTCTTACTGATGTCTCATTAAAGCACAAAACTCAAATATCCTGAGTAATATATTATAGGTTTGAGCAAATTTGCCCAAATAAATAGGGAAAGAAAAAAAACCCATTAGTTTTAATCCTTTTTCACAACTGCCAAGTATATATTAAATATGCTTTTTGTTGGAAAATCCTACTGCAGTCAGTAAGATATTTGGATAAAATTTCTTTTCTTTTCTCTCTTTTTTTTAAATTTTAGCTTTCTTCAGTTTGCCCTGGTAGTCTGCTCTTGCTAGGCACTGAGAAACTCCCTGTTATTTAGCCTGGGGAATACTACAGCCTCAACCCAAAGCTGCTTCTGTAATACTATCAGTGCTCCTCTCCTCTACAGAAAAAAGAGGGGCAAGAGCTACTGTTCAGTCTACTCTGTCTTTCTTCTATCTGTGGATAAGGAAATGGGATCGGCTGCTAGCACGAGGATCCTGACGCTACGTCCTCACCGTACCCAAGGCACACGCACATAGACGGTCAGGAAGACTGACCCAGAGAAAGAGCAACTCGCACTCAGCCTTAGTCACACCTACAGGACAAAAAGAAGTGCTCAGAGTATCCCTATCTGGGAGCATCCAAAGGTATGCCTGAGCCACCCACATTTGCACTGAGGGAGAAGCTTCCCTCTGTTCCTTGAAGGCTGCTCTGCCGCTCCTGGAGGGCAACTTACCACCACTATGGCAACCACAAAACTCCCATATGCACAGGACTTTTGAAAAGTGCAATCATATATTCAGGCCAGAACGGCTCCACCCACAGGCACACTCACCAGAAACACCACAGGAGGCCCGCCGATCAGAGCCATGGCTGTTGAGAGCTTCCGCTTGTTGCCTCCACTGTAGTTACCGGCATACTTCTCTCCGTACTTCACCAGGCCCAGTTTCCGAATTGCCCATTCGCCAACCTGGAGAGAGAAAAAGCACCGTGACTTTCGTCTGGCTTGGTAATTTTATCGCGCTTTCTTATATATGAAAGTTCTTCCCCTGAGTAGGACTGGATTCTCTGACCACAACCTGGCCATGGCCGGTGAGCCAAGAGCAGCGGGGAGGAACTTATGCGATGGGAGCAGTCCTCTCTGTTCCCAGCTTGTGCTTTTCCACCCACTCCCAACCCAGCACCACGAGGGGTTCCCACCCTAACGGCGAGTGCGAGAATCAGTGGTTCACACTGCCGCATGCGTGAGGAAAAGCGGCCTACAGCCTGTGTCATGGTGACAAAGCCATATGGTGTAGTGTCAGGATGCCAAGGGGCAGGCTGGCTTTCCGGTGCCTGTGGTACCTTGCCAACTTCTTTCTCTGGGACTCCTCTCAAGAGGGCAAAGAACTCCACGTGCTCCCTCCCCGTCAGCAGCTCTGTGATGGCATCAAACTGAGGGCAGTAACCCATGTTCTGATGGACTTCATGGATGTCTGACAAGATGCTGCAAGGAAAACAAAACCAGTCAGGTTTGAAGCATTCAGAGATAGTCTCATCAGACTATCTGGCTTAATGTTCCTACAAAGTATGCTTATGAACAACAAAGATACCCATATGCCCACTGCTGTTTGAAGGAACAACCATTCTGCCCCTGGGATGGCAACTCTTCCTGTAGTCTGGGTCTTGCCTCTGCCCTGCCCAGCTCTCACACCGGGCTTTCCCAGCACTTCAGCCTCCAGGCTCAGTCCCATTTCAGAATTCCTGGGTCCACGCCAATTGCAGCATGGTCTTCACCAACAACCTCACACTGTTTTGGAGTCTAGCACTAAGTCTTCAGCCCAGACTTGATTGACCTTGTGACCGGTCATCCGTACCAAGCACCTTTTTGCTCCAAAGCACCTTTTTGTGACCATCTGGACCCAGAGAAGGCCCCAAAATTCTGGGTGTGAGCTCCCTCTGCCCTCTGCTGCCCATACACTGACTCAGCCACAGTGTGTGTATGTTCCAGACCTCATACCCAGCCCAGACGCCCTCCTAGCTTTTAAAGGTTTTTTGTTTGTTTTTAAAATCATAGACCCTCTGAGAATCTAGTAATGGAAAAATATACCATATATATATCTACACCTTCTGGGTAGCCAATCAGTTTAGGAATCTCTAACGGGTAAAAAAAAAAAAAAATCAGCATCCATGTTCCCCTCTGATGACTAATCTTCAGCCACCCCCAGGGAACCATGAACTTGGCCTTCAGTAATAGTCATTCCTCTGTGCAAATCTATTTAGCACTCCCAGGGTCAGCCTTTTCCAGATTATGACTGAGATACCCATGGGCATTGTATATGACCCTCACAGCTACACTGCCCAAGTCCGTCCTTATAACCAGTCAGTGTGACAAACCTTAGCGTGGGCCAGTTATTGCTGCTAATGCTACACGCTCCAGAGGCTTAACACTTGGAATACAGCTGGTACAGCAGCACTATTCTGAGAATTTCTATTCTCTTAAGGATCTTTTACACAGATACAGAAAAAAACTGGTAAAAGATGGGAGATCCATGACTACATTAAGTTCCTTGCCCTTCAATATTACTGGCTATCCCCCTTGTTCACTGTTTTCAAATTACAAGTCATCACCCACTAGTGGGTCATGAAATAAATTAAAATTTTATGTCACCAGCACTTTTTAAAAGATACACTATTGAATAGCCTAAGAAGTATAAGAATGCACTAAACATAGTAATATTGGTACAATTTTACGAAATTTTTCATTAGGTTTTATGAGGGGATGTTTATGTGTATTTCACTGGGTTGAAATACAACATGTACTTTCTAGGTAAGTTATGGCCAGAAGCTTGAAAGTCACTGTGTTGTACATTTATCCCTATAAAAGGTGATGCCCCACACATTCATAGTACTCAAGAGTAATATTCTCTAACAAGACTCTAATATGTAGCTGTACCCCCAAAGATCAGACTGCTTAACGATCGGTACAGTCTCAAAAAATGACCCAGTGATAATAACTTCAACGGTTTATACCCTTCAAAGAGGTCAATTTTGTAGGCATACGCCGTTTTACCTTGTAGACATTTTCCCCAAGGAAATGATAAAAATTGGATATAAGGACATATAGATATAGTGAATAATGAAAACTAGTAAATGTCCAACATTTATAAGGAATTAATTAAATAACAGGTAAATGTGTATGGGAATTTTATGTACCATGTAAATTCTATGTCTTTAACCTATTGGAAAATAGTAGTAACATATTCATTAATGACTAAAACCAGTTTTTAAATCTATATACAGTATGGTTTGACTTTATGATATGTTTATATGTATAGAAAGGTAGATTTGGGATGATGTAAAAGTTACAAAACTGGATTGTGGTAATACTTGCAGAATCTTGGAAATTTACTAAAAATCATTGAATTGTTCTCTTAAAACAAGTAAATTATAGGTATGTAAAGTATACCTGAATAAAGCTTTTAAAAAGAACAGTGGGAGATTGAAAGAATATGTAAATAGTGATTATCTTTAGGTGGTGAAATTGTGGATGATTTTAGGTTCTTCTTTATACACTTTACTATATTTCAACATTTTATGAGCTCTAAATAGTACTGTTGTAATCAGGAAAAAAAATTTATTTTTTAAAGTGAGAAAAAGGATTTGCAGCAAAATATAGGCAACTCCTTTTCTCACCTGTTTTTGTTAAGGAAAGCGTCCCCGCGCGTGACAGTGGTGTCTCCAGTCAACATCTTGAAGGTTGATGATTTGCCAGCACCGTTAACTCCCAGAAGGCCAAAGCACTGAAAGAGTGAAACTGAGTGAGCTGTACAAGCAAACTATTAAGTCTAAATATAAGCGTCCCATAAAATGGCAACTTGTGTTTAATTTTTATATAACAAGATCCTAAAACATTGTTCTTCATATCAGTGACAAATCAAATGTTTTCTTGGTTTGTAAGACATCATACAGATATTTAAATATATATTTTACAATGAAACAATTTTGTATGTGTGAGCCCTGAGTTGTTAGGTTTAGACCAAAGCCAGTGTGTGAAGAACAGTAATGACAGCCAGCTAAATGACACCATCTAATCTGGCTGAAGAGCATAAAAGAAAAAACAGAAACGAGAAAGGAAAACGTCTCTTTTTTCTAACCTATTTGAATTTCATCATCTCAAATAGATCATAAAAGCATTTTAGATCTGCACGCTTTTCTTAAACTGCCTGAGATTATTCCAAATTGTTTTTTGATAAAAGAGGTTCCCGTTCTCTGCTTGATGACTGATTGCTTTACTCAGGCATAAGTAGAAAAGCCACTTTACCCCTTATAGACATTGTGGCTTGATTGTGTAGATATGGTCTGAATTAATAGAGACAAACACAACGCCGACCAAGTGTGTTTACCTCACCAGGAGGAATGCCAACACAAATTCTGTCAACAGCAGGCTTTCTCTTCCTTCGGTATATCTGCAACACACAAATTGCAAAAATCCATGAGGCTCAGTGACTCACAGATCTCCCAAACAACTGAAGAAGGGATTATAACCCAAACACACCACAAAATAAGACTCATCAATAAAACTAAGTCGCCTGTTCTACGTGCTAAGAGTCTTACTCTGTCACTGTGACAACCAGCTTCTGACTAACTCTGAAGCTCAAAATAAAAATGAATTTCTTTCTGATGTTTTTAAACTTAATCTTTAAAAATCTATATTGGTCATTAATATCTACAGAGCTGTATCAGCTCTTTGGACTATGAACCTCAAAATCACTTACGCTCCCTTCCTCAGCTTTGACCAGATATACAATATTAGTATGTTTAAAAAACTAACACATAGCCGGGCGTGGTGGTGTACAGCTGTAATCCCAGCACTCAGGAGGCTGAGGCAGGAGGATCTTTGCAAGTTCAAGACCAGCCTGGGCTACAAAGTGAGCTCAAGGCCAGCCTGAGGTGCATATCGAGACCCTGTCTCAAAAAGGCAAAAAAAACCCCAATTAACACATAAATGTAACTATGCAAAGTAACTTCAAGCACAAGAATTCACATTACAGAAGTATTCTCAGTAGGATTTCTTTAAGAAATTTCTGTGATACCTTTTAAATAAAATTGACAAAAGCTTGGCATGGATGTACATTTTGGGAAGTATGCTTTTTTACTGAGAAAGTCAACAAAATACTAGTTTTCCAGCATATGAAACTGAAAAAAATTGAAGACAAGCTATTATACCCCATACTCACTGTCCTACCTTAGTCAACTCCTTGATTTCCAAGATATCGTTCAATCCTCCACCATCCAGAATCCTCTGCCTCTCTCGCCTTACATCTTCGTCCTCATCATTCAAAGGAGGAAGCTTTGCATTCACAGGCCTTAAAGAGAAAAAAAAATTTTTTTTAATTAACCTTTTGAGCCAGGCATGGTGGCGCGCCGGGCATGGTGGTGCCCGCCTGTAATCCCAGCACTCAGGAGGCTGAGGCAGGAGGATCTTTGCAAGTTCGAGACCAGCCTGAGCTACAAAGTGAGCTCAAAGCTAGCCTGAACTGCATAGTAAGACCCTGTCTCTTAAAAAAAAAAAAAAAAAATTAACCTTTTGAACTATTTTTCAAGACAAAAATCCAGCCTCTAATGTAACCATGTAAAACCCACTTGCCACAGTTTCCAGGATTGGCAAGGTTGGGGCTGCGAGATGCCACAACAGGAAAAGTCAGTTTGATTATCTGAATTCATTCAAGTCAACCACCTATTGAATGTTTCCCTGTGCTCGTCCTCTGTGACCTCCAACCAAGTGCTCCGTGAGTTCTGAGAAAAAGCTTACCTGGGCCTGAAGAAGAATCTGTACTGGATCAGAACAGTAATGAGGAAGAACACGACCCCTTCCACAGCCATGGCGAAAAGGTTTCGTCCCACCAGGTCCCAAGAGAGTGGTGACACAAAGCGATTCTCTCCTGGCAGACACAATGCAAAGATTCCATCAGAATGAAGGCACCAAAAACCATAACACTTTCTCAGATTTGGGGTTATGTTCACCTATTATTCTAGAAATGCCAGGGGCTATTAGCCACAAAAAAGAGAATGAAAAAAAGAGAATAACTATGTTTTAAGTCTAATTTAAGGAAACAGCACAAGCGGACATCAATCAGAGTTTCCATGAGCTTGAATTAGATCTGTAACACTTCTGTAAGATAGCTAATCTTTCCTTTTCAATGAGACATACCAAAAATGCTTTTAAGTCAGGCAAACAATACAGAATAATTTTGTGGGGTTAGTAATTATATGTTTTAAGAAGTATTAGAAAAAACATTAAAAAGATCCCTATTTCAATACCTTATAATACAATCCAGTGACTCAGTTAAGTTACCAGGTTTTACATAAATATTCTTTAAATGCTTTAGTATCTTAGCACATCTCCTTCATCGTGCAAAGCTGAAAACAAACCCTCTTCTATCACCATTAAATAACATGGCCCATCTAACTATATTAGCCAGAAGATGAATGATAGTCACATGAGAAGAGGGGAAATATTTTTAACCACTCTAAAGGCAGAAAAAGCTTCAGTAAGTCATCTTTTTATAGACTGTGCAAAACATAATATATGACCACATTTGCAGGCCCATGATTTTCCTAACAGAGTCTAAGTGTTCATGTTTCCTTAGGATCCTCTGGCCTATATCTTAATTCCCAAAGCTGTGGGTTGACTTTTCCAGTGATTCTCAAAAACAAAACAGCAGTATTAGGCACGGGGTCCAAGCAAATGTGAGAGTTTTAAAAATTTCCAATATTGCTCCTTCACTTATCTCAATGCTTTGGAGGCCTAGATAAATGTCCAGGTCACAAGACCCATGCCAGACCCATGCTAATGCACTGGCATTAGCCTTTAGGAAGGAAACAGAAGCCCAGGTATCTTTTGCCCAGGCACCAGCCTCTTCCCCAAACAAAATACCACAGTGCCAAGGCCCATTCAAACTAGCACCTGCACAAAAGCATCCTGCAGCCCCTACTTCACTCACCAAACCTTTCCAGGGCGTCAGCCATCGCCTGATTTTTCACCATATCAATGAGCCCTCGTCCCAGGCAAAAATGTGGGAAGATTAGGAACACAGACTTCAGGATATCATTGATGTTATTCAGCTTCTAAAGACAATGAGAGAGACAAAGTGTGGATATCATTCGTATTTTAGGCTAGAAGTTGTCAAAGACTGAAATACGGAAGAGAAGAAAAATTTGACTCTTTGAAGACAAACTGGGCCTTTGAATTCAGATATCAATAAGTAGCAGCAGGGATTTTCGGTTCTTTAGAAAATCTGGAGTAATGTTATGAGTATTGAGAAATGAACAAAGTTTAAAAATATGGCTACATTTAATCAGAAACAAATCCATAACACTGCTTAGCTTTTAAAAAGCAAATTGCTCATTTCTGGCTCAAAATTTGAGTTTCAGGATTTTGCTGGAATTTCAAAACACCTTCATGCATGCAACAGAACTTATGATGAGTGCACAGGGCAACTGTGATCAAATATACGGCAATTGAATAACTCACTGTGTGCCATATGCACTGTGGGTATGGGAGAGGCAAAAATAACGAGTAGTCTTTCTGATGAAGAGAAATATGCAAGTAGGAGATGACTACATAACCACTATGTGTTGTGCTGGAGGCAGAGCTGGGCCAGGGTCAAAACAAAACAAAACAACAACAACAAAAAAAACACATTCCACTGGACGGGTAAAGAAAGCTTCACCTTCAAGCTAAGTCTTAAAGGATAAAAGAGTTGCTACCCAGGCCTAAGACAGAAGAAGGGCATTTCAAGCCAGGCTGGAGGAATATAGGAGTTTAAGAAGCAATTCAGCTGAAGTTACAGGGCCTTGCAAAAAGGTGTAATAGAAACTGCCAGGAAGGGTTATGCACCTATGAATGGCCTTGTATACTAAAATAGGTGTCTAGACAAAGTCCATGACAACAGGAAATGAAGAACTCTTGCTTTTGAGATCCGTAACTAGAATAACTGATGACCTTACCAACTGGATGTGGAAAATGACCAACACCAAAGCACCGACGATGACTACAAGAGCACCAGCTCAGGCTAATGCCACTAAATGCAACAGGGATAATGAAAGAAATATTAGGTTCTGAGGGGAAAGATGATGAAGACAGGTCCAGTTTGGGGTATTTATAAATTATCTATGAAACCATCCATGCAGGATGTGAGAATGGATAACTATAATTCAATGGAACCATCAGTGCCTAGATTTGAGAAATAACAATAAGATACTGAGTGAGATGATAATAAAAGCCTTGGGAATAAAGTGAATTGGCCAGAGAAGGTGTCTAAAGTGGGAAGAAAAGATGGCAGAGGACTGAGTCTCAGGAAAAATGACATTGAAATATAAAGAAGTATAAAAGAACCTGTCTAAGGAAAATGAAAGACTTGCCCAGAGAAATATAAAGTGCAGTACGAGAGAAAGTCACTATACAGACTCAGGCAGAATCTAAAAAAGGACAAGGCAGGCAGCAGAACCAATGTCACAGACAAGTGGAATAAGATCATGATTAATCACCGTCCTCTGGCACCCCAGAGATGCTCAGGTCAGCAGGAGGTGCTGTGTCTGCGGAACTCACATTGTTCGTGAAGAGCTCCAGCACGAAAGTGGCCACACTGCCATTGATCCCGATGAAGAGGTTCACGCTGGTGAGCACCACGTAGGCTGTGCTGGGGATCTTGAATACGAAGGAGGCTGGGTACATGAGAGGTGTGATTGACCACCTGGTGAGGTACAGAGATAAAGGTTCACATAAGTCCCCTACCCACCCTTGGACACTGGGTGCCATATGCCTTTCCCACTGTGAGTCCGCTACCCAGAGGTGCCTTACCCATACAGCAGAAGTAGAAGGGCTAGGACAGGCAGGTTGGTGGAGGACACATAGGACTTCTGCTGGAAGCAGATGAAGATGATAATGACCAGCGTGGCGGGGACCACATAATTGCACTAAAAGACAAAGCAAAGAAATAAAATTGACCTCTAAGTCAAATATACAACACATCTCAAGTCTTCACCATCATCAGATAAGAAAGGACAGATATACATATTGAAGAATAACTTTGAATTAATGAAGCCATATAAACTATTAATCAAAATACTGAGCAATCCATTTTGACAAGCATTTTACCCTTGGCTGATTTTATAAACTGCATGCCCTTTCTGTCTTTCCCACAGCTAAGCCAAGGTGTCACGCTCAGTAAACTTACTGAGCGATGGATTCTCAGTCAGAGTAATTTCAATTTCACAGGAGGCAAATAAGCTTCCATTATTCTTCCCAGAGATGATTGTGTCTGTTTCATCATTAATGCTATATCATAGTCTGCCCAAGTTCAATCTCACATGTAATCTATTTATGAACTAAGTGCTCATAACACGAATGTCAGAATTGTTTCATCACACTGAGAATAATTTTAAAGTCTGTTCTGACAGTGCTTGAAGCATTAAAATGCAGAAATAAAGACTTGGCCATAGGACAATTATGAGAATTCATAGCTAGCAGAGCAAAGCCCAAGCAGGAAGAGACGGTGGGTTTTTCAGCCATTAGAAGAATTATAGCTTGAGACTGAAGGGCTCTGCCTCAGTCACATCCTACTCAATGTGTCTATCAATTTAGATGAAGAGACAGTTATAGCAAATGTCGGACTCTAGAAAAGGGACGCACAGAAGATACATGAAAATATAAGTGATATCCCTGAGGTCAGAGACTCAATTTTTCATCTCTGACTTTCCCATCTGGCATTGTCAGACACACAGTGAGCACTCAGTATTTGAAATAAATGAATTAATGGATGAAGATTAAAAAACAAACAAGGTATACCTTAACAGAGATAAATACTAAGCTTACTTAAGGAAAAACACAGTTACATTAGCATAGAATGAAAGAGACTGAATTTACCAAGCTGCCAAGAAGACAGTGTGAAGTGTAAAATGCAATGACCTTGTGTTGCAGTAACCACACAATGGGATAAAAGTCAGCTCTCTCCGGACTCCCAACCAATCCGACAACAGTCTAGGTTAATTCTAGACTCTGTGTTTCAGAAGAGATTTTAACAATATGGAGTACAGCTACAGAAAAGAATCGCACCAGAACTGTGGCGAGTCTAAAAGGCTTGGCATAATTAGCACAGTTCTCATCATCTTGACCATCACAGCTCACGTCTGTGCCGTGCTTTGGAGATTACAAGGTCTGTTTCTGTATCTGGCCTCATCTGTAGAAAACTTCAGTTGGATGACAGTTGTCTTTAAATATCTAAGTATTACATTTGCTCTGAGTGGCTTAAAATCAATGGGAAGTCATAGGGAGCTACAGTTCAACTTCCTTTTATAATAATTAGAACTTCAAAATTCTTTGAAGCCCTTCATCTGGGTCAAAACAGAAATAATATAGCTGGCATGCAAACACCTCTGAAATGGATGAGTAAGCTGCTGATAAAATGTAGGAAGTTTTCAAACGACAGGTGGCTTTCTTAGCTAGACAAAGACGACATTGACCCAGTAGGTTAAAATCTATCGGAGAAATTAGAGGTATTGACTCAGGGTTTTGACTAAGGTCTTTCCATTGCTATGTTTCTTGGGAAAGGTTTCAAAAGGAAATTAGGTGGTGGTGCTAATAACTGTAGTCAGATGTTCTCTCTGGTCTAAAATCAGCTCTGTACCCAATAGTGTCCTGAAAGTGTACAACTCCCTCTCCCTTTCCCTTTTTGATACATTTTTAGACCATCTAGAACATTTCCTGGTCATAGACAGGGGCTCTTGCTGTCTTATCATGCATGACCTGACGGAGATTCATACCACAGCAGACATATTCTTACCATATCCCAGACAAAATTGGAGAGCCAGTAGATGACAGGCTTCACGCCACTGATAAACTGTAAGTGCTTTGCTTTGCTGACCCGCTCCTGAATCAGGAACACCACGAAGCTGGCCGGAACAAAGGACATTGCGAAGATGACACATATGGACACAACGACGTCTACGGATGTGGTCATCCTAGAAAGAAAAGGGCCACAAGGTTCAGGGGAGTCTCTCATGCAGTTGAGGACATGCATGAGGATACACACACATCTAAAGCATAAACCAGGGGAAAACACCTGTTTACTAAATACATCTTATTTTGGATTAAACATTTTCAGGTTAAAAAAATAAACCTTCATAATTCTGGTTTCACTGAGGTTATAAAAATGGACTAAACCAGGTACAGTCTACCCCTAATACTGAGAGAGGCAGAGGCAAAAGGACTGCAAGATCCAAACTGCCCTGGGCAACTTAGTGAGACCCTATCCAAACACAGAGGGAAAAAGAAGCTGGAGATGGAGCTTAGTGTCAGAGCCTCCCTGGGTTCTACCCGCAGCACTGAAAAAAAATTTACCTCCACTGCCATAATGAAACTACGGAAGGACATCGGAAAGTAGTCTAAGGGTATTCAATTTTGTCCACTGTTCTTAGCCTTATACAAGTGCAGTATTTTTAAACTTTCACACAAAAAAGACCTATGTGGCTTGAAGATTAAATAAGGAATAAATACTAGTGGGAAACTACTATGAATAAATTTTTTTGGCTATAAATAAATTTAAAAATAATGGGATAGAGCATATCAACCTGACACATACAAAATTTCTACCAAATTTTTTCTATAAAAAGACATCATATAAGCCTATTAAGCAGGGTCTTGGTATAAAGACCCTAGTGTCCTACACTGATATTCTATAGGTGTTAAACCAAAATAATAACTGTACCATGCTCCATTTATAGAAAGGAGATCTAACGTGTTAAATAATCAACTTTGTACTGGGTGCTAGGGTTAGTAATTTACATGAATTGCCCCATTTAATATGACCCATCTAGAAAATTTAGAGACCAGATTTACACTCAGATCTGTAGGATTTCTAGGACTATACTGGCTTTAAACTTCACACACACACTTACTTCAGGAAATAAAACCTATTAAAAGCATATTTCACAGGTTTAAAAGAGTAGTTTCAAAACAAATGAAACTGATCGTGATTGCTTTTATAAATGGTGAGTTAATTATTTTTAGTATCTCATTAACAATTTTTAACTCCCTGTACATGAATTCAACATACTAATTTTTTACATATCTGTGTCATTTTCTTCTATAGTTCAAGAAGGCTGCTAATTTGTAAACGGGGCATTTCCACCCAGAGTTTGGATCAACCCAGGGTTACATAACATGATTCCCTCTGTAGCTGCTGCTCTACAACCTGCTTCCTATTTTCCTGCCCTGCTCCACAATTCCCAGCGCCCTCTCTTCTCATCACTCCACCCTTTCGGATACAGCTATACTTACAGAGCCACCTCCGAGAGCTGCTGCTTGGTGAGATTCAGGGGGTGATTGAAAGCAGTAATGCCGTACTGGCTAGGATTCTCTCCCTTCTGCAGATTGGCCCGGAGGATGGCATTGTTGATCACATTCAGAAAAGAGCTGATGGCATGCCAGCCCTTGTTGTTGAACCACACCTGAAATAAAACACACCAGGTACAAGGCAGTGTTCCCAAACCACGCGCCCAAAAGGACGTGTGCACACACGAAACATGCGTGTAAACTTCAGAAAGAAATTCTAGTCCCTTACTAAGAAAACATTTTAGTCAGAGAATGTGGCGAAGAAATGACAACACGCGTGATACACTGACCACTGACCAGGGGCTAGCACTGTGCTGAAGCCCTCCTGTCCTTAACTCCTTTACTTCTCACAGCTGTTCGGAGACAGCCATGATGCCGTCTCCATTTTATATTCTAAGGAAACTGAAGTTTAAGAAGTAACTTTAGCCAAGGTCACAGTGGTTCACCTTGTAAGTCTAGGGGCAATGCAAATTCTCTGGATCACACTGCCATACTGACACATTGGTAAAGATTGCTCTTTTTCACCATGATTTCTCCCATCAACTTTCCCATGAGATGAAAATACTTCAGGGAGCACAAGGATTATTATTGACCAAGAAACTAGTAGAATACACACAGTGATTTACCTTGACATTATTTTTGGTGTCCAATCCTGTCATGAACCTTCCCAAGCTGTTGAGAAATCGATCGGCAGAACTGTCCTACAAACGACAGAAACCCGCCTCAGTCATGACAGTTCCCACAGGCAAGTGGCAACAGTAAGCCTGGAATCTGCAGACCACAGAAAACCTATGAAGAGCAATACCACCACTACCTCGCTCTCTGAAATTAAATTTAATCTACAGTTTAGTGCACAAGCACTGAAGGAATCACTTAGAAATTAACGTGGCTCAGAGTCTCAAGGTTCTAATGTCTGTATGTAATGAGGATAATGAGGATTCTTCAAAGTCTTCCCCTGGCATCATTCCCAGAAGCGCACCACATTTTGTGCAGATGTACATGCACACAGACACAAAGGCCTGTATTTCGGAGACAGAGGTAGGGACTCTGGAACTAGCCCTGCTATCCAGTATCCTAGAGTCCCTGTCACCTGACCTCCTCAACTCTCACTTCAAAATAGGAAACCTGAGATACAGAGAAGCGGAGTGTGTGCTTACCAGATACTGAAGAACTGACTACCAGTTGAAAAACAAAAACAATTCATTTACTGTTTAGCAAGCGATCATTTCAGAGAAGTGTGTTTCAAGCCCAATTTATTTACGCACTGGTTAAATTTTTTTTTTTTTTTTTTTTTTTTTCTCTGGTACCAGGAATTTTTTTTTTTTTTTTTTTTGAGACTGGTTTTTCTCTGGTACCAGGAACCGAACTCACGACCTTGCGCTTGCCAGGCAAGCGCTTTTGCCACTGAGCTAAATCCCCAGCCCCGTCTTTCAGACTTTTAAATATGTATTGCACAGTTCAGTCAGGTCTAGCTGAAATTACTAAATGCCACTGATGGCTATGGACTCAAAATGTTCAGAACAATGAGCTATTTGGTGATCAGATCTCTCTGCCCGCCACATCCATGTCCTAGGAGCTCCAGGCCCACTTATCTGACAGATCTCAGAATGGATACTCTACCTTGGCCAGTTTCAAGTGTTTCTTCACTTGCTTGATGGCATCGTTAACTTCTTGACTCGGAGGAAATGCCTGAGAATTACTGACACCAAGGGAAAATCCACCATACCTAAAAGAACAGCTTGACGTTAAAACCCAGGCAGCCTATACCATGCTATCACTCAGCAGCAGACACCATGTTGGTATGGAAAAACTTTCTGGAGACCCACGTCTGATTCAAACCAAAGTCTGACTCGAGGAATTTACACTATGGCCTCCTGTCATGGATTCTAGCAATCTTAACTCTTATGGTTGTTTCCCAGCTGTGATGCCCTGAGTTCCAGGAACCACGGCCCCTGGGAAAAAGGCAGCAGGGAAAGTGGAATTCAGTAGTAACAGGGTGTCCTTGAGGTTCCTGAGACAGCCATGTTGGCTATCATTTTCCATGATGTACAAACTGGCTTCCTAGATGCTTTCTTCCCAGTTTCTCTTGTTCCTTCAAAACCCAGAGGAACCAGAGGGTTGAAATAGTGAAAATAAGTGGGTTTGATGCCTTTTGTTTCCTCTAAGAGCTTCCTGATCTCAAGACAAAGGCCCAAACCATCATCTTTAAGGTCCTAGGAGCTACTGGGAATATGATTTAGGGGAAAATGCAACTAGGATTGATAATCTCATCAGAACATGTACTTCAAGTCTCCAGAGACCCACAAGAGACTTCTGAATCCCCTCAAGGAAATCAGTATGACAAATACTTTAGAAGCCTGTGAAGTGGTGGCTAGGCACTGAGCAGACATGCCAAGGCAAAAACTCCAAGGCAAGTCTGATTTAAATCTCTCTGGGCCCCTCTGGGAGCTCCACAGGTTCCGGGTAACCCTCTGTCCTCCTTACAGAGAGGCAGCACCTAAGAGTAGGTAGGTGAGCATTGCACAATCCCAAACCAATAACCTCCCTCCATCGAAGACGCCTGTGTTATCATTCTCCTGGGGCCAGAAGTGCAGAGGAAACTGAAAGAAGAGACCAACTTACCGAAACTCATTCACCCAGATCTTATTCTTTAAGCTGCGGAAAGTTAAGACAAAGAAACAAAAAAATCAGTTCTAGAAAGCACTGATCCTATTTCTGATGATACAAAAGGAGTGGATATGCGAAAGGAGTAAATGTTATACCTGAGGATAAAAAAAAAGGGACAGAAATAATCCTATGAACAGGCTGTCCCTGTAGGGCCACGCCAGCAGAAAAGGAGCCCACTCTGCATGTCTTATCTCCTATCTTAAAAACCCTTGTTATTTAGATGAGAGAATCATACCTTGTGTTAAGCCAATTTAAAAACCACCTTACAAACCAAGACACAACTATATTAGAAGTTCTCTGATACAAATGGAATAAATGGAATACTTCAATTGAGGGTAACATACGGAAAAGGTTTGTCTTTTTCTTGGAAACTCACGAACAATATCCTTCCAGCACACCCTTGTCATTGAAAATCACTGAGAATTCCCAACAGAGAGACCCTATCTGACCAAGCTGATGGGAAATAAATGGAACACACATCTTCTGAGGATGAACTGAACATCCAGTATTCTACTGCTATATCACAGGAAGGTACAAAGCTCTTCCATAGCTCTATAGTCAAGACAAGCTACTTATTCTTCCCAGACATGTCTTCATGATCCCACACATTATCATGGAATCCATCCCTGAGGGAGTATCCAGGATGCTTTGTGCATACCACTTCATTTAGTCCGCACAACAATCTTATAAGAGCAATGTTGATATCATATTTTATACAAATTTTAAAAGCCTTTAAAAGAGTAACAGATTGCACATGGCCAAGCAACTGGTTAAGTGGCAGAAGTTAATTTAAATTGACATTTCTTTCCAATCTAGACCAGGCTGGCCCGACTGTATATTAACAATATATCTTATCATTTCTTTCTAGTAAAGGATAACATCCTAAGCTTGCAATAGAACCATCAGCTCATAATCATGCATATCTCTATCACTCCAGTCCAATATCTGTAGCCTTTTAATCCCTCTGCTCAGCAATGACAAAGCATGGACCAAGTTTAGTAAACAGTCACCTTTTGGCTATGATCTGCACGTATGTCTTCACCAGATAGTCTGAAATGTTTCTTCCTGTCAGGTCCTGAAGGATATCTGCAGTGTTCTGTTTTCTCTGTCATCACATAAAACACAAGCAAATATGTCTTTATGGACAGGAACTGAGTCAGAAAACAGATTAAGGACTACAATTACACATGTTCTCCAAACACGTACAACAGTGGGACTGGAAACCTGACCAGAGGGCCCAGGCACTACCCTTAACCAACCACCATCAAGACCTGGTTCATTTTGCCCTGGGCACTGAACTTATACCAAGCCAAGGTCTTCCTAGGAAATTATTCTGAATATCTAAACAATAAAGCAATGAGATATGATTCTTCATAATCACAGAAGATTTTAGGTAGCTGCATTATAAGCTAGGGTAGTATCTTGTGGAGGTCAACGGAGTTATTCTGATGACTAGACTAACTGCTATTTTAGAGGGGTAACCAAGACTCCTGTTAGGTTCCCACATCCATTTAAAATTGTTTGTCCTCACCCTACAATCAGGATACTGATAAGACAGCAGAGAACTATCAAAAGTAAGCCACTCCCTGATACTGCCAAGAAATAAATGACTCAGTTCTCCTCCCCAAACTGAGAATCCCAGAGAATGTCAAGGTTGGTAAGACCCAAACAAGTTTTCTGGCCCAGATTCATGAATTCAGAGGTCTAAGCCAAAAAACAATCCCGCTGAGTTAATGTGGCCTGTTGAAAGCTCAGCTGTGGTGAGCACAGAAGCTGGACCTGTCATAGTATGTACAGTGGCACAACCACTGTGTGACAGTCATCGCATCCATTTCCCCCAAACTCACTTGTTTTCCTTTGGACAAGAACTATCATCAAGGCTGAAATGCACCCTTCTGACATCACATCTCACTCAGTCCTGCTCTGAAGTAGATGCCACCAGCCCACCCTGCGCCAGCTCTTTAGCCAAACACTGACAGCAACTCACTTGTGGAGGTGGCAGCCCCCCTGCCCCTGCAGGACACACAGGCAGCATCTTCTTGATTTTGTCACTGCTACACTGGCAGGCAGGTGAAGGGTTCTCCATCGTCCAGTTCCCCTTTTGGAAGAGGTCCATGATGGTCTGGGGATTTGGGGCAGTGGTCCACTCTTTATCTCCTGCCAAGCAGGGTGTGTTTCTATGAAAGGAGGACATTAAAGGTAGGATCAGCAAAGTGGACCTGACCTTTCCTGCTGCCTTCTGAGCATAGGATCATACTCAGATGACCACAAGCACACACATATCTCTTACCATTTGGCAAAAAATGAGCATGACCTCATTTGATTGTTTGATCTCACAACAGTCTGAGAAATTATAATGGACTATAAATTGTAATGGATTACAAACAAGCCCTGAACTTGTTTGTATCCTGAACTCTGTCCAATCCAGTCACGCAACGTTTGCCAACCTAGCACACACTGACCATCTACTCTATGCCAGGTGCTGCTCTGCATGTTTGAGAGTCTGATGACAAATGCCCTGCCTTCATGGAGTCCGCATGTCCAAAAGGAATTAGAAAACAAGTAAACAAACGATCTATACATGGCCAAAAGGAAAGAGAATAGGATAACAGACCTCCTAGAGAGAGGGTAGTTCAACTAAAAGAATAAAGGATGAGACAGAAGCAGCCACCCAAAGATTGTAGTGGGGAAAGAATGAGCAGAAGCAATGAGAAGTTCAGGTACAACAAGCTTGAGAAGTGAGTTTCTGTATTTGTGGAGCAACAAGAAGGCAGTGTGGCGGGAATCCAGCGAGGCCAGAGGAAGAGTGATGAGAAATGAGAAAGAGGTCAGTGAGACGGCCAGTACCGTGGGCCTGGGGAGGGGTCTAGATGCTGCATTCAAGGTGCTGAAAATCCTGCGGAGAGCAGCAAGATCCAATTTATGTTCTAAAATAAATAGCGAATTTGGGTGTGAGTGGGGTGAGAATGCTTGGTGTAGGAAGAGCTAACTTTTCCACTGGTGTTCCTGGTGACTAAACACAAGGCCGCTGTCTCTGAGTTGAACTCTAAATTACTATGAGAACAACAGTAAGTCCCTCAACCTCTCAAGGCTTATTTTTCTACTGGTAAAATAAAAGTATCATTTCTCTTCTACCTTCAAGTCTTCTACTTTTAAGTAGAGCCACAGTTTTTATATTTTTCTTCTATATTTGGTTTTTAAAAATAAAATGAACAGTTTTTCAAATCTCACATCTATCTATCTATCTATCTATCTATCTATCTATCTATCTCTTAACAGAAAAGTGAAACTAATCAAGGTGCCCTCCTGATGCTCACACCTAAACCTGTCAAAAGACAACCAGGTGAGACAAAGACCAAGAAGTGACCCAGTCAGATGTCCTTTAGTTCTATCCCTTTTTGCAGACCTAATATTTGAATTTCAGTGAGGTTGCCAGAGTAGAGCCCTTTCCTTCAAACCACCTCCAGGAGAAGATCGGTGCTGCTTACTTACTACTGCGAACCCTCGGACATCATGGGCATGCTCCTTTTGTCTCCAGGAGCCAGCTCTCAGCACAGCTCTGGCTTCTACAGGTCCTTCCTAGGCTGGCATGGGCCAGTCCATGAATCCATACAGTTCATCTTCCAGCTTAACTCTATGATCATCTCACCTCATCCTTCTACCTTGCCTACTTCTTGTAGAATTTCAAAGGAGTTGTGAAGCCCAGGTAGGCTGTGTCCATGTCCTTCTTCACCCTCATCACTTTTTTTGAGCAATGAATATTGGGTCCTGGGATTTACCACCTATTCCATACTAACTACAAAGTACTAAGAAACACTTAGCAACTATTTGTTACAGTTTGGATCTTAAATGTCCCCCAAGGGCTCAAATGCTAAAGGTTTGGTTCTCAGTTCATGGTCCTATTAGGAGGGGGTGGAACCTTTAGGAGGCGAGGCCCAGTAGAAGGAATTTAGGTCACTGGGCATGTACTCTTGCAGGAATATTGGGACCCTGGCCTCTTCTCGTTTTTCCTTCCTGGCTACCACTAGGACAAACAGCTCTGTTCTACCACACATTCCTCACCAAGATGTTCTGCCTCGCCCCAGGCCTAAAAACAAGAGCCAGGTGACTCTGAAATAGAACCTGTAAAACAGTGAGTCACAAGAAATCTTTTCCTACATTTTAAGTATTTTGTCAGAGGCGCAGAGAGCTGACTAACACACTAACACTAAGAACAAGTACCTAGGATGTATCCATTTAGGAATCCGCTCTGCGCCTTGGTGCAGCTATGGCGCTCACTCACCTCACATTTGCAGAGCCATCTTCCCTTTAAAAGTGGGAATTCAGGTTTTCCCTTCTCTGTTCACGCACACCTTCCCAACTTTCCATAATCCTCCAGAAATCACTGTTGTGCTTTAACAACTTCAGGTACAAATTCTTCCTCTGGCTGGATACCTGAATCCTCTCCTATCCTCTTTCTTTCTCTCGTGTACCTCTCCTCTCCACTGTCTTTGGCACAGAAATCTCCTAACTTGCTCTCCCCTGCACACACCATCATTTGGGTATATGGCTGTATTTAATTAGCTGCTCTTTAAAAAACATCCTTGAACCAAAGTATGACAGAAATGTGCAGAAAGAAAGTGTCACTTATACAAATCAATGTACTCTTTTCAGGTTGTAAAGGTGAAGAAGCTAATAAGCAAAACTGCAAATTATATACGGTGGCAGCCTATTATTGTACTTAAACACAGGAGTTGGTGGGGGGAGAAGGGAAAAGCATTTGATTATGAAGTAAAAGGGCTATTTAAGTATTAATGTTCTAAAAGAGTGAACAAATACCTGTAATAATTTATTTGTAGGCTGTTAGAGTGCTCAATTTTTTCCCTAGATTATTTGACTAGGTTACTATATTGGATTTTTTAAAAATACGAAGTGATGCAAAGGGGGAACGATAGAAGTTCTAATGTGCCATGAAGTTAGTAATGCAGAGTATTTGCCGTCAAACTGAGTTACAAACACAGGAAGCCAGTTTATGGCTCAGGTGCACTCACGGGATTGGGTTTCCTTCCATACATCGGGTCCCAAAGCCAGGGTCTTTGGTGAGGGCATTCAAGAGTTTCTGGATGCCCATATCTTCGGGAGCATCATTGCTGTGGATACATAAGAGGTAGCCAGCTCAGCAATTCATTCAAATCAGGAAATCAGGAGGTAGAAATATTTTTCCACATAAAACACTCTATGAAGCACTTTCTGGGGGCCAGCCTCTTGAAACTAAATTGAATAAAACACAAAAACCACCTCTAAGGAGCTCAGACCCTGCTCATATAATAAGTATCAGGAAAGTATACCATTCCCCCAAATTCAGGTGTAAATAGGTAAGGTGTATGAAAGTATGTATGTGTATGCATCTATATACACACACATATATATATTTTTTTTTGTGTTACATATATTTATTAAGGATCAGCAGTTCAAAAATACTTTCATAATGATCCATTTGGCACAGACAACCAGGACATTCTAAGAAAGGTCAAGCAGTGGCTCAGTGTTTACATGGACAGTTAGAAAATATAAAAAATAATGGGCATAGGTCACAACAAATACATGCTGTGTTCTACAGCTATGGGCCACACAAGGTCAGCAGCTGGGAAAGGAAAGAATCAAAAAAACCTGAACTGTGTAAGAAGAAAGCATGAGTTAGAGAAAAAGAGACTAATTCACATGTTTATACATATATTGTTTATACATATATTGTATTTGTTTTCTTTTGTAAAGCATCGGTGGTGTATCAACTTTAGTGGATTAAGAAACACACAGCAGATTAATAGAGTCCACTCTTGGGTGTGTCTAGGAGGCATGGCCTTGGGCACTGTATATGGTCTCTCACCTGTTTCCCTCTGGTGCTATCCCCTGCTTTGCTCCCCATTGCCCTAAACTTCCTCCACGATGTTCCTGCCTTGAAGCCATCTGACTATGGACTGAATCCCCACAACCTGTAAGCTAAATTAAACTTTTCCTTTATGCCATGATTATCAAGTGTTGTGTCCCAGTGATGGAAAAGTGCCTAACAGAGCATCCCCCATCTACAGGCCTACGAATTTCCTACAAAGAAAATTCTTGCCAGATGAGATTCAGAAATTCCTTTGTCCTTTTGTTGCATGCATATGATTGCTGTGGAATGGGATGTATTCTTGCCTAAAGATGAACACTAGATAATATCCCAAGCTTAAAAAGAGCAGAGAAGGATTACATGAACAATACTGTGCAGAAAACAAGAACCTTGGGCTTCTATATTTTGATAGTACATGGAAGCCATGTGGCTTGATTGTAAAGTCAAAATCAAACATTTTATAACTTAGTCATAGATTTTAGTAAGGAAAGATTACTTTTCCTGAAACACATATAGTTGTTCCTGACCATAGCAGTATAAAGAGAGAGGCTAAAATGCCCACCCAAGAGCACCAGGCTATTATTTCAAGGTTAGTTCACTGCTGTTCTCTGCGTGCAGTACTGGCTTACATTAGGTGCCTGAGCAACAGCCAATAAAACCCATTCCATGGTGGAATCTTGCAGTTCATTCCATTCGCTCTCAGCTTAGCGAACACCCTCAGTTAGCTAAAATCTTCCTCTTTCCTTTAATACAGAGAGGCAAACTCATACCTGACAAACGTATACTGCTCGTCGTACATCCAGGGCTGCAGCTCCAGGCTGGGATACTTCCCAAAGGGCGGCACAATCAGGCTGAACACCAGGGCAATGCAGACAAACACAGCTGGCAGGACAATCTATAACCAGGCAGTGGGGAGAGGAAGGTGGCAGGAAAAGGTGAGTATTAGAAAGAAGGCCAAGGAGCACGCCCCTGCAACATGAGCCAGTATAGGAATGAGGGATCGCAGGCCCGTAGCTGAGTCCCACCAAAATATCCTTGGCAGCGGGAAGCAACAGATCCTGAAAACTAAACATCTTCCCTCCAGGGCATTTTTTGAAGCTGGCAGTATGAGGCCAGAGACTATAGTCACCTGGCAGAGGCATGAAGCCAGGAACATCAGAGAATAAAGATCTTATGTCAGTGATTCAGAATGCTAGATTCTGCCCTTGTTCCCCTTGAAGGCTGAGAATGACCAGCCTGGACCCCAAGCCCAGCCTGGCTCACGGGAAGGCTGAGAGAACAAGCCCTGCACCAGGAGACAGAAAACCCAAGTCCTGGTTCTGTGACCACGACAAGTGGTCCCTGTGATAGCACTTTCCCATCTTGCCTCAGTTTTCTCATCTATAATCTGAGGACTAAGGATTGATAACCGATACAGGTCCCACACTCATAAAATTAACTCCACACAATGGCTCCCATCAAAGTCAATGGCCGTCAGTGACTACCATGATCAAATAAAAAAGCATAATTATCTAAACCCTCAAACTTTCTACACACCTTCTCTGCAATGACTTGTAATACTTTACACTAAAACTAAAGGATTTTCCACTTTTTGCTGAGAAATCCATTACAAATTTGAAGACTCAACTGATACACTTGTCTCTAGTATTATTTGGTTTCAAAGCATAAAATTATCATTGAGTCAATAATGCTACTGGAAAGTACTGTAATGAGAATAATCTCATTTAATTATCACTACTATCTTATTATTTATTTCTGGTTGTACCATCACCATCCAAAAAAACTATGTAACTAAGGATCAGAGTGAATAAGTTACTTGTCTGTGGTCATATAGCCAGAAGGTAACAGAGCCAGACTTCAAACCCGGGTCTGGATATTTCAAACTCATGTTCCTAGCATTACCTAGAAAGTCTGCAGGGAAGACTCTCTACAGCTAGTTCTCTGTATTTCTTGATTTTATAGAGTGAAGTCATTTTAACCCTCCTAGCTAAGCAAGTTAGCCTGCAGACTCTGACATGCAGGTGTTAGTGTCATGAGTCTTACTTGTTTGCTAGTTATATTTTGATCTGTCTGGATAACTTAACTATCAATATGAGTTAAAAATCAACCTAGGGAAAAATCATGTTTCTAATTAAGTTCGTATGTCAAGTGCATCTCAGCATAACATCTTGTACATTTTGAGCAATGGATTTGCCCAATTTGTTTTCCTAAACTTTGTCCCTCTAATGTCAGAATTCCAAGCACTTTCTTTGTTTGTATCCTCATAATATCCTTTTATCATAGGTGCTATCACTTTTCAGACAAGGAAAAGATGCTACTTTTTCAGATAAGGCAACTGCATGGAGAAGTTATTTGCCAGAACATACGTGATTGGTAAGAGGCAGAACTAGGATGGAAATACAGACAGTCCAGTTCCAGCCCTGTTATCTGGACTTCTGCGCTGCCCTGACTTCACTGATAGTCTGCAGCACTCACACCCCATGAAGCCAGAGACCAGCATATTTCACCTGAGCAAAGAATCCTTTTCTACTCCGTCTGGCAATCAGCAGCCTCTTCCACAAAAGGGCCACAAACTGCTGTTGGACGAGTTTCCAGCCCTTGACCTGGTAGGAGCCTTTGCCATCCATCCCGCTGAGCAGATCTGTCTCTCTAGATTCTGCAAGAAGACAGCATCAAAAATCTCTTATCTTAGGTATTTTGGGCTTGACAATGCTCCTTCCTCTTATACCTTCAGCAGCATCTTTGAACCTTAAGTTTGAAGCTAGAGGGATCTCTCAGAGGTGAAAGGTTATTCTAGGAAAATGTCCAACAGTAGCAGTTTCTGCCTTTTAGTCCTTTTCAGAAACATAAAATGAAGATGGCTTGAGAAAAGTGAAGAGCAGTGTTCATATGTCACTGGCCTGTAAGTCACTCCAATGAATCGAGTCAGCATTGATTTCTTACGGAATATTCTATGAAGCAGGCCATGTATGTAGGCTGACACATTTATGATTGTGCAATGGCAATTAATCTCCCATTTTGCATACTTTTGGTAAAGAGCAGAGACATTTCTCAAGTGATCTAAGTACTGACACTTTCTGAAATCAAGGGAAATATAAGAACCATACACCAAAGTGGCCAAGGACTGGAAGAGTTTTCTGTTCCTAAAAATTATACAGGAATCCTTGCCTTAGACTAATGATTTCTAACTGCGGGGCTATGACATCAAATTTGTTTGATTTCTTACCTCCCCTCTATGTCCTTCTTACACGCAAGGACATAGTCATAGTCATCCAAAATGTCTATGTTTAGGGTACAGTCAGCTCCGAAAGCAAATTCCCCTGTCTGACTCTTTAAAACTCATTCACCCATTCAAGCAACATCAATTCAAATAATTAAATACCTGATGTGTGTAAGAAACTGAGGCCATAGAGAAAAGACAATAAATGTGTTCAGAGGGTTGAGGTGCCATCCTTTCATGTGTATCTTAAGAAAAAGATATCAGTTAAATGAAAAAAGTAATAAGGATGGGCTCTCTCAGGTTGGATCATACATGCCATGCTAGAAAAGCAAAAGTGGTTTTCCTCATTTTTTATTTCCCTTTGGACCCTGCAGGGATCTATCACTGTGGCTAAAAGACCATCAAATGGAAAGAGCCGAGAAGAACATAAAAAGGAAGTTCACCTCTGAATAACAGAACACAGACGCTGCCCATACAAACCTGGGTCTAGGTCAGAATCATTTGGATCAATAGCGTCGTCTTCGGTGAATGGGCGAAGACAGCTCTGCTTGTCCCCAAAGGCTCGTCTGTTTCGCCTTGCTGGCAAGGTACCATCTGGAAGCAAAAGGAAGGAATCCCACATTTTATTTTATTTGTAGTAAAACAAATCTTCTCCAACTGCAACAAACTCACTAAAAATGATACTGCTTTGGAACAATTCAGAGGAAGGCACAACACTTGCGAACTGAAACAGCCTGCAGGAGGCATTCTCCACAGTATGCAGTCAGTCCCCCCAGAGGGTTACCTGAGGTCTCAGCATCCACCCCACTCTCTTCAGCCACTTTGAGGAATATCTGAAAAACAAGAGCAGGTAACAATACAAGCACCAATATTACGACAGAGGCCATCACTACGTAGATTACATTATTTATTTAGTTGCATGTTAGCCCCTTAAAACAAAGAAGTTGAAAGCCATACTTATTAATAACATTGTCTAAGACACTCAGGACAGGAGCTATTTTTGCCAGAAAATATTTCCTCAAGGGTGAGAGCTATCAGTCCAGACAACCACTGTAAAAATAAAGCTAAGACACTGGGATGCTGCAGCAGAAAAATTTGTTCTGAACCTACAGGGAGTGAGTTGGGTGTCTCCTTTCAGGCCTGTGCCCCCAAATCTTTGAGTAAGATAGCACTGTGATAAATAATCCAAGCTAGAATGGTTAGGAGGGCAACAGGTCCCTCAACACCAGAAATATTATGGCAGAGATTCCAACCTCAGAGGAGATTCTGAAGGAGACTAATGATTTTCAAATTAGTCTTTGGCCACTGTGTAGGAAGCATGCAATCAAAGTATAGACTTCAAGGCCTTACCTCAGAAATCCCGAGTCAAAGGCAGCAGAGCTGAGCCTTAGAGCTGCTATTGTCAGTAATATCCCCGTAAGACTGCACTGCACAATACAGCCTGAGGACCACCAGGCTAGACAACTTTCACATCCCTTTCAGCCCTCAAGATCTGTGATGCTATGTCTCTAAAGGGAGGTATTGCTACAAGGTAAAGAGAACATGGGCTTTGAAGCCCCTAACCCTTTGATTCTAAATCACAGCTCAACATCTCTGACTGTTCATTTGATCATCTTGTTAGGAGGATTAAACAAGATTACAATGATTACAACAAAACAAACCACTAAACACATCATGCTCATCACCTGGTCCTAGTGGACAATTTACAAATGTTGGTTATTTCATATGGATTAGAGTCCAGTTGATACCTGGCCATGATACAACCACACCGATCGTAATACTTCTTTCCTACTATCTCTCACTGTGACCTTAGAGGTTCACCAGGGGGCAACATTACCCAGATGTTGACGGCCTAAAAGCTCAGTGACCAACAGGATAATCCTGTTCTCATTGCAGCCTGTTCATCTGACTAGAGATTGTTGAGCCTGCTATATTTTGACAGTGTGTAACTTAGCTTACTTCTTCCAGGGTAGTCTCTGAAATGCCATAACTGGAGATGCCCAGATCTGAAAGCCGGTCATCAATCTCATGGAAGAGTTCCACAAAGGCTCCCTCCTTAGCAGCTTCATATGGCAGCACATAGGTCAGCTCATGTCCAATGTCTTCCACCAGCCGGGCTTCAGACACATGCTTCCTGATGAGGTTGGAGATAGCAGAGACATCTGCAGGGACCAGAATGCAAGGATGGCTCAGTCACCTCATAGGTACCACGTAAAGGCCAGCCATCTCCTGCCTTTCCTTTGCCTACTCCTCAGAAGCCCATTACTTATGTACCACACTATCTCAGATGTTTTAGCCATTCTACAAGTGCACTTCTGACCTGATAATTCTGGGGGAGGGACAGGAAGGAGACAGAGGACTTGATCTCATTCACCTTTACATCACCAACTCCAGGCACAGTGTGTGCTCAGTGCATGATGGATGGGTGAAGAGATGACCTGCTGAGGTTGAAAGCCTCATGTCCATTGTCTACGCCCTAAGATTCCTCAATGAAAACCTTGAGCAAAGAAACCATAAAAGATTCTTCACTCTTTCTTAAACTTTCAAAGACAGCTGCCTTCAAATTTATGTTAATAGGGGGTTAATCAAACAGTTCATAGGAACAGAAATCTTCCTAGAAAAAAACAACTGTTGGGACTGGGCAGAGATAGCCATGGTCAGCATCTCTGTTGCATGTGCTGCTAGTGACACTGCTATCCCATACAAAGTGCCTGAGGAAAACATGGAAGGCTCTTCCTTAATCCCTGGGCTCCTACCTTCCTTCTACACTGAGCTCAAGTCCCTGCCCACAGAGTTGGCCCTCAACTTGTTGACCCGTATCCAGCCAGATCCAAGCCCCTAAGGGATTCCTTCACTGCCCACCCATTTCAGCTCTCTGAAGCACAGGCCTGTCAGCTCCCAGACCAAGCCCCAGGCACCCCAGAAAGTGTCAGGCCATCCCACCACCAAGCTGCCTCCACTCCCAAGCCACCCAGCCCAGCCCAGCCCAGCAGCAAACCTTGAGTCAGCGCCACCAGCCTCTGCACCTCTCCTCCTCTGCCTCCACTCTGCCCAGCTGGCGGAAGCTCAGGCACCACCTGAATAAGAAACCCCAGAGTCCTTACCGATGGTCAGCGTGTCACTTTCATGGTCGCTGCCCAGGCCAGCATCAGAACTGCTCTGAGAAACACTGTCCTCCTGATGGCAAAGAAGGAGGTGAGAATGGGTCAGGGACCAGGCAAGGTAGAGCTGCCACCACCTTGGCAGGGGAGGGCTTCCAAGAAGCTCCATTGGATAAAAACTGAAGCAAAAGCTCGTCCTGGGACACATGCAGTTGGCAGCCAGGGCTTCCAAGGCCTCTGTACAAAGTGTGTGTGTCATGTGGATGGCCATGCTTCCTGGGCCGAGAGGTCAGAAAGGAGAGTTATTAGCACCATTGTGGCCAGCCAGCTGCAAGGGGGTCTTCACCAACCATTACAGACATGAAATTTATCTGGCTACTGGTCCCGCTCAATGCTTCCTAAGTTTTACTGGTCCTGCTCAATGCTTCCTAAGCTTCAGTGTATGTCCAATCAGTCAGGGACCTTATTAAAACACAGACTCTGGGTCAGTAGGTCTGAACTGGGCACCAGCTGCTGTGCTTCTAACTAGTCCCTTAGGGATCCTGGTGCTGCTGCTCCTTAGACCACACTGGAGTAAGGAAGTGCTAATTAAAAGGTTAAAAAGCAGATGAGGAGTTCAAGATTAGGATGGAAATGCATTAAGTACCACTGGTTTCAACATATAAATAAGTCTGTACAGAAGAAAGTATAGCTGCTCATTGGGCTCTGGTCCCACCTATTACTTACTTACTGGATGATCTTGAACAAGGTACCAAATTCCTACAAGCCTCATTTCCCTCATCTGGGACAACAGTTATGACACTGCCTTCCCAGGAGTGCTCTACACTTTGAGATGGTAGATGTAAAAATTGTAAAATGAAACCAAAAGTGAACTATTACTATTCTTTTCTTCCATGCCCACAGTCTGTGTGGCATTTAATATATATTAGATGTTTTGTAGTTTAAAAGTTATGGTCAATGAGATTTAAAGGTAATGAGCAGGGATGGAAGGGCATTCCATAGCAAAAGCTCTTACCTCTTGGCAAGTTTCTTTGCTTTGACATAATAAAGTCCTCAAAGGCCCTTCTCCATCACTCACTGTATTTCCATAGGAAAAAGGGACTAGGGTTCACCAGAACTAGTGCAATGCAACAGAGCGCTCCTGAGCTTTCCACGGAGGAGGCGAGATGTGACTCCACAGCGATCACAGATGGAAGCCACAACTCAGCAGAAGGAGGCAGAGGTGGACAAGCCATCCACAGCCAACAAGTCCTGACTGTCTGGCCCCTGCGCCAGCCCAGTACTAAGACCACAGCTCACCTTCTTCAGGTACGACACGGTGCTGCTGCTATTTCTGCAGGAACTGAGGGAGGATTCCACATCTTTCTTAACCAGGGTCAGATAGTAGCCTGTTCCCAGCTGGTTCTTCAGAAACAGGGAGGAACCCACACAGCATAGCTTTCCATGGGAAATGATGGCAATCCTGTCCCCCAGGATGTCCGCTTCATCCATGTGATGGGTGGACAGAATAATGGTGCGGCCTGCCGTGCACAGATACAAAGGTGTGGGACAGATGAGAGCTCATTAAGCATAGTGGCAGAGACTACAGAGATAATAATGGGAGAGTATGCGAGAAAGACCTGGGAGTCGCCTTCAACGTGTGTGGCTGTGACCCGTAGGAGGGAAAGCTTAGGGACAGCTACTGCATCCTCATAGAAAAGGAACAGCATTTATCTGGGAACTTGCTACATGCCAGGCAGGGACGAGGCAGTCTGTGCGCTGTCGGTTAACTCAAGCCTCTGCGAGGCAAGTACCACTATTGTTATAGGTCAGGAACGTGAGGCAAGTTCAAGCACTTTCCTGAGTCTCAGGTTCAGCTGGAGCTGGCTTCAAAGCCTGTGCCCCTCATTACACCACGTTTGTGAGCATTTCCCATTTCATTCATGTATTTACCCACACTTTCAACAAACATCAACTTAGTGCAACAAGTTAGGGACAGAAATGATGAATAAAGACACCACTTCTGCTCTCAGGAATCTCTTTTTTTTTGTTGGTTTTTTTTTTTTTTTTTTTTTTTTGGTACCGGGAATAGAACTCACGACTTTGCGCTTGCCAGGCAGGCGCTGTGCTGCTGAACTAAATCCCCAGCCCCGGGAATCTCAATCTTAAGGTAACAACATAATGATAACGCACACGTGAAAGTCTGTGCCATTTCTGTTCTTCTTGGAGACCCCTGGGTGATGAAGTGTAAGTGTCAATGTCTTATAAACCAGGTCGCCCACCTCCATATCATGGTAGGAACTGGGCTTTATGAGAAATTCTACGCCATTCCAGCGCCCTAGCAAGAATAGCCATGAGACACAGCCAGACTCTTCAAAAGCCCTCTCTCTCCCAGTTTACAACTCAGATGAAGCACACATCAGTTACCTTGTCGGTACTTCAGCAACAGCTCCCAGATTCCCCTCCGGGAATAAGGGTCCACGCCAGCTGTAGGCTCATCCAGAATGACAACCTTGGATCCCCCTACAAAGGCCAAGGCCACGGACAGCTTTCTCTGCATTCCACCTACAAGACAGAGAAACATGTCCAGAGGGTGAGTGACGGCAGAGATTGTGAGACACACGGAGGCATCCACCTGGGGACGTGGACAGGGACAAGTTTCTTTTACCCTCCAACCCAGCCTAGGATTTTGCTGAGCATGCGCAGTTGCACAAGGAGGGCAGGGAAGATGGGGAAAGTGCTCAGGGCCTCACCAGACAGCTGACTTGTTTTGCTTTTCAGCTTGCTGGGTGGCAAACCAACATCCAGGGCCATTTGGTCCACTTCTGCTTTCACGTGCTTCTCTGAGAGTCCCTTTAGGCGGGCATAGAACCAGATGTGCTCTTCGACAGTCAGCCTGGGGACAGGGGGTCGGGTCAGCTCTGGGCCCTGCAGGATGCATCAGAACATAGTGCCTCCTGGCCCTGAACAGAAGGGAATGGTACCTCTTTCCTCTCCGCCACCCCACGCCTGGCTTCCACAACAACAACAAACTTTATCGGCTTCTAAAAAATACTCAGAAGGATGGATTTAAGTAAAGCTACAATGAGCAACAACATGAGCTGCTCAGGAAATAAAAATGGAAAGGTAGCAAATCATTTTCAGCCTATTTACCCAGCAGGCCCGGCCACCAGGCAATAATGGGTAGTTGAAACTTTAAATTTCAAGGCCTCAAACAGCTCACCTGAAAGTCCTATCAGCTTTGCACTAACCCGGAGCAGCCTCCTTGAAGTTAAATGGCCCCCAGGCTCAGAGAAGGGAAACCCTGAGGGAGCCCAGGAGCCCAAGGTGCTTACTTTAGATAAGAGGAAATTGGGGCCCACAGGGAGAAAGGCTTTTCCCCAGGTCACAGAGCTCAGATCTTTCTCTGCTCCACCTTTCTCCCAGGGGCTCTCCTTGCTAATAAGACAATCTCAGTGGGAGGAAATGTCTTGAGCAGGCAACACAGGGCCATCATACCACATTCCCCAGGCACTACTGGGTCTCAGGGTAGCGCACCAGGTCTCAGGGCAGAGGACATCAGGGTCCTCTAAAACAACAGTGAACAACAGCACTGCTTCCCAACCCTCTCCCAGCCTACAGCTCACCTCTCCCAGCCTGCAGCTCACCTCCCACCCTCCCCTAAATCAAATAACAATTATGTCTTAAGGTGTCCAGGGACGTAAGACCCACCACCCTTAAAGACGGTAAAATGCATTAAGTGCTATTCCATCCACAGCTCCATGATTCCCACATCCAAGAAGGGGCTGCTCTTCTCCATGGGCTGCTGGTACTCACATGTCAAACAGTACATTATGCTGGGGACAGACCCCCAGGTTCTGCCGAATGGTGCTCAGCTCTGAGCGAATGTCCTTCCCCAGGATGTAGGCGGTGCCAGAGGTGGGAGGGAACAATCCAGTCAGGATTGACCTGAGGACAAAATTAACAAGTGCAGGAGTCAGGGCTGCAGAGCCAGGGAGCAGGGAGCAGGACGCCAGCCCCCACCCCAATTCCTTTATAGCAGAATCTGATAGAGCCCCACAAGACAAGTCTTTTGCTTTAGTGAATAAGTAGGATTGGGCCTAAGTATTGGGCATGGCAATTTCAGTATGAATATTTGAAAAATAAAGCTTCCAATATGCAGTGGAAAGCGTACTTTAAAGCATATATTTTGTATGCCTAACATTATGTCCCATGAAAATTGAACAAAGCAGAAGTTATTCAAATATAAAAATGTTTGTGCTAGATGATATGGGTTTTTAGTGTGTTTAAAAAATATCCAGCAATGTTCATAATATATTGATCTTATGTTTTAAAATAAATAAAAGAAAATAATATAACTCCCAAAGATCTACCCTCTATAACGGCTAAGGGACCACACTTTGAAAGCCACTAAGGCTAACTCTGGTGTTTTATGCTCCTTGCTCCCTTCTGAAGCTCCCAGGAAGGGGAACCGGAGCCAGCTTTTCAGGTGCTTCTCACATCTGCCTAGAGATGGGACAGAGTTCCTATAAATGGCCATCTCCCTGCAACGTAGCTAATCTTTCTTCTTCTTTTCCTCCCAGAGTCTTGCTTCACAGTTCTGATCAAACCAGTCCTAAAGAGTACACCTTCTCAGAGCTGTGATGGCCTCCGGTTTCAAGAATGCTGCAGAATTCTGAGAAGTACAAGGGAGAAATCAGCAGATGGCCCCAGTCTATTTCAGCAGAATACCCTGCAAAAACTAGCACTTGGAAAGCACTCCATGACCAGATAATATGTCTCTGCTCATCACCTCCTCATGTGCTCTGCTGTTATCCCACGGGCCAACTCTATTTTCTTAAGTATGAATTCCTAACTATACTGCAGCCTGTCTGTGGGGTGGATTCCATGAGCACCGCACCCTCTTCTTACATGGTGGTTGTCTTCCCTGCTCCGTTATGGCCCAGGAAGGAAGTGATCTGGCCCTCATAAAAATTCAGCGCCAGGCCATCGACAGCCACTTTCATGCCATCTCGGTAAACCTTCACCAGGTTCTGAATGGACACGCCCAGCTTCAGGTGGGTGGGTTCCTCTTCCATGCAGACTGTGAGAAAAGAGAGGAACACAGGTGAACTCACAGCAAAAACTGAGGAGCGAGTAGAAACACAGGAGGTGCGCTTAGACTTTCAGAGGACTTCTGGCCACACCACTCTGGTTTTGCAGGCAAGGAGGAAGCGTAAATATTTATTTAGGATCTATTTGAGCATAAGTGTTGGTGATAGGAATTAAATGACAAAGGAGCATTCGAGTCAACTGAAGGAGAAAGACTTGAAAAACAATTAAGAGACAGGATAGTAAAAGCTGCTTTTAAAACACATCTAAAAAATGCCCTGGCACTGTGGTACATCCATGCCATGGAATCGGCCCAGCAAGGACAAGGAAGAAACTGCTGATACCACAATTTGTATGGACCTCAGAGGAATTATGCTGAGTGAAGAAAAGCCAGAAACAAAAAGTTACCTACTAGTTTCCATTTTCACAACTCTCTCAGAAAAGTCAAACTACAGAACTGGGGAAGAGATGAGTAGCTCACCCGTGTCAGGGAGCAGGGAAGTAAGGAGGTGGGAGTAACTGTTAAACAGTAGCGTGAAGGAGCTTTGTGGTGGGGGAAAAGTTCTGCATCTCAGTCGACCCGGTGATTACATAAATCTGTACATATGATAAAACTGAACAGCTCTGAACATACATACACACACACGCACACACACACACACACACACACGAATGGACGCATGTAACATTGGAAGGAATATGCAGGTCAGTGAAGTGTACCAAGGTCAGTTTCACTGTTTTGCTACTACCCTGTAGTCACACACAGTCTTACCCCCGGGGAAACAAAATAAAGTTTGAAGGAACCCCTTCACACAACTGTTTTCGCTGCTTCTTAGAAGTCTACAATTATTTTTAAATGAAAAGGTTGGGGTCTTTCTGTTTTGTTTTATACACCACCGAATTCAGGTAAAGATAAATTTAGAGAGCTGCTTAGGAAGAAACACTGAACTAGATCTGAAGGATGAGGCGAGGTTAGAAGGCCGGCGAGCAGGAGAAAAGGTTTTTCCTGTGAAAGCAGACAGCACAGACACAGGTGCAGAGACGTGGCGGAACATGACAGCTGAGCAGTTCCGTGTGACTGAAACAGGAGCAGGAGGCAGAGAGCAGGAAGAGAAGAGCTGGAAGAGCAGGGAAGGAGGTAAAATGGTAGGCACAAGAGCCATGCCGTGGAGCATCGCTTTTACCACTGGCGATCAGGAAAAGGGCACAGAATAGAGCAGAGGGAGGATCTACTGACTACTTAGGAAGGAAGCCACACTGAGCACGAAGACCTGAATGAAGAACCCAGAAAGAAGAACCTGTGCTAACCCGAGGACATCTCTACCTGCAGTCAGGAGCCAGGAGAGGGCTAGCGCTCTGGGTCCGGTATGGCAGGTAAGAACATTAAGAAATAGAGGCTGAGCTCCAAGGCAGCTGATCGGCGCCAGCCTACTCGGGTCATATATAGAACACCATGACAAGGTAGCCAGAGGGCCTCGAGGTTATCTTTATTACTTCTTCATGGCAGATTGTTAGGTGAGCAGGTTAGCATGAGGGGGTGGAGGTAAAAGGATCATGATCAAAAGACACTTTCCAAGAAGCCAAGAAAACAAAGGAAAGGGTCCTCAGTGACCCAGAGGGGCTTCCCCCTCCAGGCAATAACAGTGGACACACAGGGCAAGGGAGAGTTTGGAAAGGGTATATGTTATAATTCCTCTACCTCTAGAATGCCTTTAAAATTCTTAAAGTGCAAGAGCTGTCATTTGCTCTGACAGTCAGCAGGGGCAGCAGCACTAAGTTAAGGGGAGGACAGATCAGCAGCACTCACTTTCTGATATTCCCTTCTGGCTGGAACCAAGGTGACTCTTCTCGTCACTTTCCTCGCCAAACCAGTAGGACTTGGTACAAGGAAAATACCAAGGCCTGGGAATTCCATACTGACCTGAAAGCAAAGCACAGGTTTGATCAAAGCCAGGAACCATCCCAGTATCGCTGGGGTTTCCCGGTCAGCCCTATCCCCTCCTGGACATACCCTTTGGAGAAGGAGCAGACTGGAATGGAGATGAGGGAAGAGGCAGCTTCCCTCGCTGAAGCGTAATGTGCACTGCACATTACGCACCTCCCCGAGGCCGCCCAACAACCCCATGAAACCATCCCCATTTGAGAGATGAGCAAACTTAGAGATCAGTAGCCTATCCAACATCATATAGTGGGTAAATTAAGTACTTGAAACTTGAATTCAGACTCAAAACAGCATATTCATTGCAAGGAAGAAATTGAGGGACATTCAGGTAGGAGTAATAAACATTTCCTATATGCCTCCTTAGAGGAGAACCACAAGGTGAACCAAATGGAGTAAAACCTTACTCTCTCGGAATTAGATCATATATGAAAATTTACCCCAGGACAGGTTCATCTTTGATTTGGTCAAGATTTCAAAATGAATTTTTATTGCATAATAATTTGATTTAAATCACAGGCAAGGTCTCAGAGCCAATATATTGTATTATTCACAACCTGTACTGAGGAAACAGAACCTCCCTTAGAGGTGCCCTCCCTGGGGACACAGAACTACAGAACTGAGTCAACACTGACAGAAAGCTCCTGGCTCACCAACCCAGTGTAACCCAACTGGGTTCACCAATCCAAGCGCCAACACTTCCCATTCCTGTGACCTCAGGCAAGTTACCTAACTTCTTTAAGTTACCGCTCTCATTTGAAAAATACAGGTTATAATAATGACCTCCATGTATCTTTTGAGACACTAAGTGAGCCAAAGTGTATAGAACACTGCCCAGTGCGTGGCAGACAGTGGTCAAGTAATGAGTGCCACGGTGGCAGGAACAGCTGCACTTTTAGCCTCAGTTCCCTTTTCCTGACTTATTTGTTTGCAATGGGTCTAAAGTCCAAGCCACTTGCAAGAGAGCTCTGTATCCTGCAGAAATTCTGAAACAAAGACAGGAAAGCGCTGCATCCAGAGGTCATCTTTCCCTAGCAGATGGCCAAAGCAGGGTGGAAACTCAGCATACCTGGAAAGACAGCTTCGATGTACCATGTCATCACCCCATAGAGGAAGGTGTCGAACAGCATCATGGAGATGGAAGTGGTGAGACTGAAGCCATCTTCCTCCAGGGGGCTCTCAAAGAGATTGTCCCACTGCACCCCAATGCCCTGCTCCTCAAAAAGGGCAAAGTACTCACAGCCAAACCCCAAAGCCACAGGAGACAGCAGGCTCTGGGAGAAAGAGGCAAAAATCACATATCTATTTCTCTGTCTCTCTCATTTTCCTATTACTTCTAATATAATTCCACCTGGAGAAATTTGAATTTGTAAAATAGATCAATTATAGGATATGGAAGTAGTCACCTACAGAGTCCCTTTAGGGGAGTGGGTTCCCTTGCAGCATATAATAATGATTCCATTTATAGCCACTCATTATGCACACACATTTCAGAAATGCACGCATGACAGCATATAAAACTTTGAGGATTTTATGCTGCCAGAGATCCTCCAAGACTCAGCGATCCTGTCTCCTCTCTGCTTCCCCCATGCAAGTGAACACTCAGCAAGGTCTCTGCAGGTTCCCACTCAACTAGTAAACATTTATGATCAGAAGAGTCTTCCTTGAGGGCTGATACCAATAGGGCAAGACTGAGGCACCTAGAGCACCCTATGAGTGATTATTAGCTTTCCTTACAAGTGATCCAAGAGAGGGCTGGGGAGTTGTTCTTACAGGACCTCTCACACCCTCAAAGGTCACTCCTACTCTGTACAAGGAAAGGAGCTGTCCATGTGAAGGATTTGGGGTACAGTGGGGCACCTGCTCCTCAGTTTGGCTCAATTCAGAAAATAGCACTCAAGTGAAACAGCATACTAAACACATGGAATACAGGAGTCAAGAACAGACCAGTTTGGACCTAAAAACCTTTCAGTTCTATCTGTGGTCATTATGTGGTAGTGAGCTTAATATGGCTAATAGAGATGGGAGATAAAGGATGGAGAGAATACCTATTGGCTAAATCTGTTCCCCAATGCCATTTATCCCCAACCAGGTTCAAGGTATAGTCTGATCTTTGAAAAAAATCCATTCAATTTAATCCAACCAGCGTTCACCAAGAGGGTTAAAGGTAAACAATTTAGTAAGACGGAATACCTCCCTTCAGGCAGGCACTGTGCCGCTGAGCTATCTCCCTGGCCCCCTTGTAATACCTCCCTTCAAAGAGCTTAGAACCTAGAATTGAGGTTCAAGTCCCACCAGAAAAAGACTATCTAATGTTCTCCAATTGCTGCGCCTATTCATGGGCCACACAGAGGAGGTCAAACACCCAAGGTGGTTGCGACAGCAATGCTGCAGAAGGACCAGAAATACTCACTGCAAAGATCTTGGCTGTGAAGCCCACGTAGTCCTGCCACGCCACACACAGGACATAGGGCAGGTACAGGGTGAAGTAGATGATTCCCCCACAGGCAGCAGCCAGGTTGGCCCGGGAGAAGAGTGTGCTAATCAGGAAGCACTGCAGGATGGTCACCGTGGCAAAAACACACAGGAAGATGAACACCACGCTGGGGTCGCTGTAGGGTAGCAGGTTTCCCAACTGGAAAGGAAGAGATCCATGAAATGTGTTGCCTCGGCAACCCAAGCACTCACTTACAGGATCTATAGAAGAAAGTCAGGGTTTACTCAACGCAGCAACAATGCAGAGGAGTAATACTGTTCAGTTTTCTAATGAGGAAACCAAGGCCAAGAAAATCACTTAAGATGACACAGAAAGATAATGGCAAGATTTGGAATAGAGGGCTGGGGATATAGCTCAGTGGCATAAGTGCCTGCCTGGCAAACACACAGTCCTGAGTTTGATTCCCAGTACCAAAAAAAAAAAAAAAAGATTTGGAATAGAACAGAGTCCAGGGCTTTCCATACTATCTCAATGGACAGTTCTGCTCTGTGTTTCTCAGATAGGTAAATCTGAGGGTACCATGAGGACAACGCCTGGTGCCACCAAAAAAGAACTGTATGAGATTACATACCACAAAAACTTTCTTTTCAGAAGCCAAGGACTATGGCCAGACAACCTTCATCTCCCCCTTGAAAACCATGAATTCCTCATTCATACAACGAACTCTTGTGAATATTCTGAACTTATCTTAGTTCAAGAACTCTCATACATTAGCTGTATGACAGTCACAGGGCTCATTTTCCTATAGTCAGACATCAGAGGATGAAGAACGGCACAAGTACTTTTTTTTTAAAACAAATCTTGGTCCTGCCGTGCTGCTGTGTGCTTTAGCAAAGCCTGCCTTCCTTAGCCTTCTTTTCTTGAACGTTAAATGGGTATTTTGGTGAGGATGATAAGGAAGCACGTAGGATGTGCTTTAAACAATGGTTGGCATCGGTAAGTGCTCGTTTACAACAGGTACACTGAATGCTCGCTCCTAACCCTTTGTGACCCCCCAGACATTTATTTTGATATGATGCACCTTTATAAAGAATAATTATAGGGGCTGGGGATTTAGCTCAGCGGCAAAGCGCCTGCCTGGCAAGCGCAAGGTCGTGAGTTCGGTTCCCGGTACCGGAGAAAAACAAACAAACAAAAAAAAGAATAATTATAGGAAAAAGACTACTAGAAAGTATATTATCATATGGAGCAATCACAGAACTTCACTGCTTCAAGTCCACTTCAAGAGAGGGCTTGTAACTGGCTGTCAGTCAAATGGTTCCGGGTGTCTGCATCTCTGGGTTTGTCATAGTTAGAGAGCTCCCTGCCCTAGGAATGAACCCCTCCCAGGTGGGCCCACATTCAATACTCCGGAGTAGGGAAGGTCAGGAAAGGAGGCCTAGGAGAACCGTAAGGAGCTGGACATTACAGTTCAATGAGCAACAGCTGCAACAAGCTCTATGTTCTCCAGGATGTCCCACAGGGCTGGCCATGCACCCACTTCTGCTTCTCTGCCTGCCTGATCCTGCATCTGCAACAGCACTTCCGCAAGTGTTGATCCCTAATAAACACCAACAGGTCAAACTCTTCCTCAGCCTCTGTTCTCGGGTGACGTCACCTGCCACGATGTGTGTCCTTCTGATTAGGGTTTTTAGAAGCTTAGGACAAATCACAGCCCAGTGCGTCTAAGAGAACTGTCATACAGAGCGTGTGACATGTCACGTGTATGCTTGTCTGGAAAGTACGAGCCCTGGGTTCTATTCCTCTTTACTATCTAATTAGCTGGGCTCATCCCGGATAAGTCACTCTCTGGCCCTCACTTTTCCCAGTTCTAAAATGAAATTTAAGGACATGACATGTAAGACCTTTCTTTCCCAGAGTCTTGGCTTTTTTCTTTTCCTCCCTTGGCTCCTGTTGGGCTCCTCAAGAGTTCCCTGGCACGGAAGAGCAAGTAGGGCGGCCTTACCTTCATGATAACCACCAGCAGGCCAGCGCTCACGAGCAGCGGGATGAGACTACTGATGAACCAGCTGAACCAGAGGATGCCGTTGTCCAGGCCCATGATCCTCATGGTCTCCTTCAGCCGTGCCTCCTTCTCATACACAATACCCTTGATGATCACAGCCACAGAGTAAATCCAGGCCAGCGTCATGAAGAGGGGCATTGACCGGCTCATTACCCTCAGGAAGCTGGAGGCCCCAAAGAAAGACAGGGGAAGAAAGAAAGACACTGTGAGCCAGGACCATGGACCAAGGCCTCTGAGCCTGCATGCCAGAGGAAGCTCCAGATTTGGGCCACTAACAGCAGGCCTTTTAGACTCCAAAATCCACAGGTTTCCAGGTGCTTCACAAACAGTCTGCACAGAGATAAAAGCCAGGCTAATAAAGTTTTGCCAAGCAGAATTTCTTTGAGGGATTGCTTTAGTAACTAGCTAACCAAGAGATGACATTAAGGTAAAGCTGAAGGTGGTTTACATTAAAGTACTAAAAACTGAAGTAAATAAAAATTGAACTCAATCTCCTATAAATATTCAGTATCTCCAAAGTCATCTCCTTGTTGATTTGCTTATCTTAACTCTTACCATATGCAGAAATACAGTTCAGGCCACGTTTGTCAATATTTCAGACTCTAAATTTGCATAGGAAATGCAGCTTTGCAAAGTAAGTGGGATTTGGAATCTGGACCTGGAAGTTGAGGCTCAAATCCCAGTTTTACCATTTCCTATAGATTTTTTCCTATAGATTTTACCACTTAATACATGACAACAGGCAACGGCTCTTAGTGCCTCTTAACTCCAGCAGCCACATCTCAAGGCACCCTTTCTGAAGTCAACCTTGGCTTAGCAGTCTTTGGAAGAAACTTCCTTTGGAAAAGTCTGGCTAGGGCTGGGAATATAGTTCAGTGGCATAAGTGCCTGCCTGGCAAGCACAAGGTCCTGAGTTCGATCCCCAGTACCGAAAAAAAGAAAAAAAGGAAAAGGAAAAGTCTGGCTAATAGTTTTGAGGATAAAAAACAGAATGTCTGGTGACTTGGAAAAGTTAGAGTTGGCCATACTAGGAAATAGTTGTTTAGTATAAAAGAGAAAATATAAGGAAAAATCACTGCTCTTCCCACGCATCTCTCTCTCTCTCTCTCTCTCTCTCTCTCTCTCTCTCTCTCTCTCTCTCACTCACACACACACACACACACACACACCCCATGTTGGAAGAGGACATGACATACTTGAAATGCTTGCAATAACTACACTTTTGACCATTTGTCCTAACAATGAACCATTAGATCCAAAAACAGTGTTCCCACAATTAGAACTCAGTAGCTTAGTGATTAAGCATTAAAGCGCTATCTGAAAAGTCTAAGATAAAGAAGTTTTGTTCAGTTTCCTTTGGCTCAACAATCACTTAGAGGAAGTGGAAAAGTCTATAGGAAACATACTTTTACAAGTATAGGCTACTGTTTCTGAGTTTGGGGAGTTGAATATATACACATACACATATATATGCTATATATATATACACATATACATATATATACACATATACATATATATAGCATATATTATAGCATCTATCTATATAGATATAGATAGGTATATATATGCAATTGCATGTGTTTGTCATGACAGATTGTGAACTCACAGATAGGGCAAATTTTGACCCAAAAGGCAGAGTATAAAAAATAAAAGTAGTGATAGCCGTGGATGAGCAAAAAGGCAGATTAGTAGCATGTGTACATAAGTCTGTCTCCAGTGTGGATGAAACTGCTGACCACCTACACCTGGCATATGAGTCTCAGACCGTTCATTCACACCCATACACATTCCACCTAGAACAGTGTTAACTAGTTATTTAACTAAAGATGGTGGCTTGCTGGTAACTTACATGTCATCAACATAACAGGGGTAGGGCATCTGCTGCACATAGACCCCAGTTTTCTTCTCAGTGCCCGTCAGCACCCTGATGATTGCCTGCTCCACCACATCTTGCAAGTAGGTAAAGCCCCCCCACACGTAGCGCATATCCTCAAAGGGATCAGCCCGAGGACCAGGGTCCCAGTACCTAAAACCAAACCATAGGTGAGTAAACATTCCTTAGAACCATACAATAAAAATAAATATATACAACCACACAACCACACCATTCTTTATATCTGTATCTTTCTTTCTAGTCTCAGTTGACATTACACGTATCTTTAAGTAGAAATAATCAGATTGAACATATTACTTGTTGGTTTGGGGTTTTTCCCTCCACCTTCAGTGGCTACCTACCATTGCATCAAATGGATATATCAGAATTTACTTAACCATTCCCTTTTTAATTGGATGTTTGACCCTTTTCATAAAAATGGATAAAGCTGGCAAGGAGAAACTAAAGCCTTGTTTTTTCTTTTCTTTTCTGCTGACTAAATTCTTTGGGATTAATTTTCTTGAGTGAAAATGGCAAAAAGATACCAACATTTTATGAGCTTTGAAGTAATAGCCCCCAGCAATGAATATGCCAGTTGCATCAAAATACTGCCACCAATGATTTTTTGCTGAACTTGCTACAATTTATTAATTCAACTGAAGCATCACTAGTAACAGCTGCTCTTGACTTTCCTGAGACTAGGCTGGTGTGGTGGGATTCAACTTACCCGTCCTTGATTTTATTTGTCCTCTCCACATTGTCAATGTCCATTCTAATCTTGTATTTGACGTGGTGGGGCAGCTCAACACTGCCAGGCGTGATTCCTGTGAACACAATACCAGCCCAGAACTTCCTCTCATCCAGCAACTCCATGGACTTGTTGATGAGCCGGACTTCTGTGGGAATGGGCTCCAGCTTGTTGAGGTTGACACACTGATGGAAGAATGACTTTTGTGAGAACACTGGTGGGTGACCAGGAAGAATAAGGCAGCCAAGACAGACCCTGAGAGACAAGAACTGCACAACAAACTAATCCTCTCTCTATAAGGTCCATAAAGGTCATCCGTATAAGGGCTAATCCTTCCTAGAATTATTGCCCAGTCTTCAATCCAGAGTGAATGGATCATTTCAATTTTTAACTGAAATTAAAGAGAAATGCTGGCAGTATTTACAGATAAGTGATTTGTACTGATTTTTTGTGGAGAGAAAGAAGTAAAAACAATGATTATATCTTACTTTTCTCTCTTATATATATATATATTTTTGTCTTTCTGAGACAGAGTCTCACTATGCAGTTCAGGCTGGCCTTGAGCTCACTTTGTAGCCCAGGCTGGTCTCGAACTCACAATGATCCTCCTGCCTCCGCCTCCCAAGTGCTGGGATTACAGGTGTGCACCACCACATCCGGCCTTCTTATGTTCTTTCAAATGCTGACTCTCAGCAATTAACCAACTCAATAAATAGATGAAAAAAGACTTTTATTCATCTCTATTAAGTACCATAATTTTTAGGATTAAATTTTTAAAATTTAATCCACCCCAAATTAGGTTTCATAAATAATGCTTTTTAAGGGAATGCTTTGTTGTCATTTAGCATCAAGATATGAAAACATAGGAAAACCTAAAAGACAATGGATGTTTATTTACTCATTCAAGCAACATTTACTGGGCACCTTTTGTACACCAACCCCTGTGTCAGGTTTGAGGGATACTGCTGCAATGAAACTACACATTGCTTCCAAGATTTCCCTGTCTCTAATCATACTGCAACATCTCAAAGAAAAAAACTATGAGCCTTTTCTAAACAATGACACAACAGATCTTCACAACAGATGTTTACCTCCATGAAGTGAGATATGGTCTGGATTGCCCGGTTGGTCTCGTTGAAAACGTCTCTCCAGGTGTACACAGAGCCATTAACATGCTGAACGTCCTCTGGGTGCTTGGCCAGAAATGCCAGGATGTCTTGGGCTGTCCAGTTTAAGCCATCCAGCTGCTGTTCCCAAAAGTGTTCGTTGCCTTTGCTGTCCAGCAGCATCTGCGTGCCAGCAAGAACATACAAGTAGTGAATGAACGTCAACTACACCTTGACAAGTGCTGTGAGACGTGCTGATTCTTTCACACGTGGCCTCCTTCTGTTCATCTTCATCAAAAACAGTGAGGTACATGACAGTGCCCTCATTTAAACAGTGAGAAGACGGAAGTTGAAAATGTATGGTTTTAACCAACTCTGGTTCACAGTGCTAACTGGTATAGAGCTGGGACTCAAGAAGATCAGTCTGAATTCACAGTCCAAGTGTTTTTCCCTGTACCAAACAGCTCAAATGAACAGCACTAACTATGACAGCACTAATAACATTACTATGGAGAATGTTTTACATTTCTCTCAATTCTATGAGAATGTTACTGTTAATAGTCCCCATTTTATACAAGGCAAAACCAAGGTTCAGAAAGGTTAAGCCCTTAATAGAAGGTCACACAGCTAATAATTAGCAAAGTCAAAACACAAGCCCTAGATTCTAGTGCACTTCCCCACTGCACTGCATTCCTCTTTTGTAACCCAGCCTAATGATCGCAAGTAACTACGCCTCTCAGGTCTGAGCCCACTTTTCCTGTTTAGTTTAGGGAAATAATGCTGCTGGTTAGACCAAGTAAAATGTAGTCTTTCCCAACACTGACACACATAGGTCATGACATAAAGGAAGCCTATTCTCCATATCTTGTTCCCTCACCAGTTGGTTCCTCACATGGTTCTTAGACAGAGAAGAGTAAGTCAAGCTAGTGTTCAATCTGTAGCTCCAGAAGGGCTGGGGCAGAGGCCTGAACAGATGTACTGCCAGGAAAACAGGGCAGCTGCAAGCTCAGCAAAAAGGAAACATCTGCAACTCTAGTCACAACTTCCAGAGGAAAGAGGAAACCCTGGGTACTGAACTGGTTTTCTCCAAGGATTAGAAAACTGCATTTTTTTTCTGTCTTGTTTTCACCAGCATTATTAGCTTTTTTCCCTTTGTGAGTTCATATCTGTTATTTTAATGGGAACAGAATGCTTTTATAGGGTGTGTATCCACTACAATTTCATTAACTGTTCCTGCACTTCTGACCATTCAGTCTATTTCCAATTTCTCACAGTGACAATTATTACAGCAGTAAGATTCTGTCTCCTATGGTGACTTCTTTAAAATTATTTCTGTAGGGTACATCCCCGGAGGTATGTAGACTAGAGGTGCACAAGATGGCCCATTTTTTCCTGGGTCTTGAAATTTTCATTCCAAATTGCTTTCCAATAGGTAGTAACAATTTATACTGCCATAAGTAAGTTATGTATGTATTTTTATTAACAGATACAAAAGTGTACCTCACCAAAGCTCACAGAGGCATGGCTAGCAATTCAGAAAGTACCTTATTTGGAAGTGAACAAATAAGAGCACAGTGAAGAGACGTAGCATCTGAGGTGAGATCTGCCCTGCCCAGGCTGTGGCTTCTGAGCAGTATGTCCACGGCAGACAGCGAGAGAGATGTACCCAGTGAGATCACTGACCATGCAGCCACCCTATTGGTCTTAAGACCAGGAGACCTAAGATCCTCGGAGCAATAAAAAGGGAGAAAGCAGGTCCTGGAGAGGAGGGGCTGAGAGCAGCTCAGAAAAGAAAGTGCAAACTGGTGTCACAGAGAGAAGGCCTCTAACCTGGGGGTGAAGCACCGGGGACAGAGCCAGAGAAAGAGCAGAGAGGTAAGAGACATCCACAGAAGCAAAAGCCTTGGGCATGGCTGCATGTACCAGATGCCAGGCTTCAGGGGGTGCTCAGGACTGAGAAGCCCATGCTAGTGGAGTTAAATACTCCTGAGGTCAAAGAGAGCAGGAAGAAAGGCTCTTCTGACTTCTACCCACAGGCTAATGACTGCCGCGTCCCTGTCTGTACGACCCAACCGCCTTACTGTGTTGCAGACCCCAGTAGCCCTCAGCGTGTTGGGCATCCCCACCACCCGTGGGTTAGAAAGCAAGAGTCACCCTTGTGCTTCTCACTCCTGCCATTCATCACTGAGCAGTCACGAGGCCTCCCCTCTTGCACTATGTCTGGATCACTCATTGATACAGCCTCCATCTTGGTTCCTACCTTCACCCACCCATCTCCCTACTCAACCCATGTCATGTTAGAGCAATGCATCTGTATCTTCTCCTGCTTAAAGCCCTTTGATGGTGCCCCCAGAGCCTAAAGACTCTTAATTTAACACACAAGTCTTCCAAGGTATGCGATGCCTTTCCTTCTAGCATCCACATTTCCACTTCCTATCACACCCTGGGGGCCTCCCAGCTAAGTTCTTAATAAATCGCACTGCTGTGTTTGCAAGGGCCTTGCTCCTAAAGAACTGGGAGATCATGAGCAGAAGGAGCCACCGAGGAAAACTCTGAATTTAAGAGTAGGAAAGCATACATTTGCCCCCAATTTAAAACTCACTGAGTCCTTTCAATAGGGATCCTTACCACTCCCTGAGGCTCCAACTGGTAGAAATATGGATTCCAAGAAGACCGGGAGGAAGAGCTTGAGAGGACACATGCCTGTGACACTGCCTATGACTGGATCATGCCTTATGGGGGAGAGAACAGAGTCCAACGGACAGCTGGGCTTATAGGGCATGAGCTACTCCTATTTGTACTGGTACAGTCTATACACACCATTGTCTGTGCTTCTATTATTCAAGTAACCCTGCTTTTAAAGGCTCAAGCATACATCACTGGAGGCTTCTGCATCACTGGAGTTTCTTCCTCAGTAATTGGCCCCCTCCACCAGGAGACCAGGGGGACAGTTCTAAACTTCAGAAGAATTCCCTCCAGAGGGGTACAGCCCCTAAAATCCATTGCCCCACATATCGATGAGGTTCCAAACAAGACACCGGGCAAAATTCTCTCCTGCCTCTTAATGGCAGCAGAAACAAAAGGAAGTAGCCTCTCTCTCCATGGCATTAGGAAAGAGTGCAATGATTCTGAGTCAGAGCCCAAGGCAGGGATGATGCGATTAACCGGCTCCCAGACTCAAGCAAAGGAGACATTCTGTTCTTCTCAGACTGCTCTGCTTTTGAATCCAATTGTCTCTAGAGCACTTATTCCTTCCAAGTGGCTCAGAAGCATTAAGTGCAATTCCATTCCACGCAGCTCTGCACTCACACGATGCCTCGGAAACTGGTATCTCTGACGCGTCTGTGAGTCAAACCACTTTTCTGCTCCCACACTTCCTTTCCAGGCCTACTTAAACGTCGAAAGTCTAGAGAAGATGCTCAGCAGTTGGAGCCTAACACGAAAATTCTTAGGGTCCTGTAATCACCAAGTTCTACCTCTGAATACCGGCCGTTACTAAGTTTTGTACAAAACTGGTATTTGGCCATGAGCAGCATTGATGTCAAAGTACACAAGGTTAATGCTGCACCACGGTTTCTGCTTTAAAGAAGTGCAGTCCTGAGGCTTAAAGATGTGATTTGCGCTAGGCTCACTGCCTCTCAATTGGTTAAAGCTAAAAGAATTCTTACATCAATTATGGGAATGTGACTACAACTCACGCCAACATCAAGCGGGCACATAGTAGCCAGAAATATGCTCACCCGGACAAGGTCCATTTCTTGGCTGTTCTCCATGAAGGCCCAGAGCTTAGGGCTGAGCTCTCGCCACATGCCTTCCACATCGTGGAACACAGCCAGCTCCTGGAAGGTCTTGTTCACCTAGTCAGTTGGGAGCCAGGGACACAGGAAAAGTGCAGAGGTAAAGACAATGAATAACTCAATGGTCCCTAAAAGGATACCCCATCCCAGCATCCCCAGCCAGTCTTCTCCCCCAAAATACTAGCCTGTGGCTATGATTCAAATATACCTAGAAATGCCTGCCGGTGGCTGATTCAGATACTGAGCGCTCTGAACTTGATCAGATTTGAAGTTCTCACTCTTTAAAAATCCCCAAAGAGGTATGAGTATACTCAGCACGCTCCATCTGAAGCTGCCTTTACTCTCATGCTCCTAATTCTGGGAACATTCTGAGGACACAGTCTTGGTCCTGGGTAACTTACCTCAGCCATCACCTGCCTCGTGGCTGGAGTGTCCGGTGTATACAGGATCTTCCCGACAAGCAGGGGCTTGAGAGCTTTCCAAATAATGCGGGAAAGAGGACTAGACTCCAGATTCTTCAGCAGATCATTGCAGTAAGGAGCTAGGATGTTGGAAGACAAGCACGCATTCATATGCATGGCCTTATGCCAGCAGGAGCTTACAGGGTTTGGGGAGCCAGACACAAAGTCCCAGGTGCAAAACCCTGCTCTACCACCTAACAGTCATATAGCAAATAACTTTCTGCTGTGAGCCTCAGTTTGCTCTTCTGTAAAAAACAAAGTTCATAACATCTACTTGGCAGAGACATGGGGAATTCTATAAGACTTCTAGAAAGGTGCTTGATAAATAATCAGAGTACGTTATAACTGCAAACTGAATCAAACTAGAAAAATGCTTTTCCTATGCATAAAACTCATCCCCTCATGCCAGTTCTAGGACTGTTTTCACTGAAAACAAACAGGACACTTGAGGAGCAACCAGAAGGCTGAAATCACACTTTAGTTTTCAGGCAAAATTTTCTTTCATTAATTAATAGCTCTCATCCATCTACATGTAAGTCTAATAAAAACCCCAAACTGAAACATCCAAAGTTATAACTGTAAAATAAGTTTGGTTTTTAAAGAATTGCATTTTAAGTTTTCCAGCTAGTTTTATTTTTTGTTTTGTTTGCTTTGGTTTTTTGCAAGATACCATGTAACCTCTCTATGCTACAAGGTGACAGAATGGTGGGATGCTGGGGATGGGACCCAGGGCCTTGTGTGTGTTTGGCATGTGCTGAGCTGAGCTCCTGGCTCCCCAGTTTTTTTATAAAAAGGCTTTGCTCACAAGCATACCTATTGTGTAAATGAAGGCTCCCTGGAGTTGATTTGCATGCTGGGGCAGAAGAAGAAATGGCATTTCATAGAGCTGCCTCTAATGCCAGCCTTTTCAAGCTGTAAAGCAACTCAGCAAATGTCTAGAGTGCTTTACTCTAGAGAGAATAAAAGGTTTTTCTATTACAGTAATGCACAAAACGTTCCCCTGCTCAGTGTCTGAAAGACACACCTATAGCTAGAAATGGAGAAAGGCTTAGCTGTTTGGGTCTTCAAGGAAAAGGATACTATTGTCTAAAAGTGTGACACTGGATCCCTGGTGCCACCAGGCACAGGACACACATCCCCACAAAACTGCCCAAGTGTGGCAAGCAGGTTTGGAGTTACATGGTTCTTTATCACTGCCTTGTGGCTAAAGACACAAAACAAACAGGAGATCTAACATCCAAGCATGATAGTGCATTCATGGACATTTGAGAAGCACTGTTGTTTATCAAAAAAAGCCCAGAGTTAGGAGGATTTAGACTTGAATCCCAGCTCTTGTGAGCTTAGCTATGATGTGGCTTTGACCAAGTCACTCACACCTCTCTAAACCTGTGAAATGTAGAACCTTCCTTGCAGAATTTTCATCAGGGTAAAATAAGATCACTTAAATAGATTCCAAAGTACATAGGAAATTTTACCTAAATGCTAGATTTTGTTGTAGCTGTTATTATTACTTATTTTTAGATTTTCATTATAAAGTTTGCCTCAAAGGTAACAATAATAATTATTAAAGGACCAGTTTCTCATCCTTTTTATAATTCTTCCAGCTTTATTAAGGTACACTTGATAAATAATAATGTTATATATTTAAGGTATATACAAGCTGATGTCTCACTGTATACAGGGAAGTTAACATTTACATAATGAAGTTATATGTCCACTGCTCATAGGATGTGTGCATGGAGGGGTTGAGAATACTGAAGATCAACTCTTTCAGCAAATTTTAAGTGTACCATACAGTATTATTATCTAGAGTCACTAAGCTATACATTATAACTCCAGAACTTACTCTTCTTGTGAGACTTAATCTTTGTTCTCTTTGACCAACATCTCTCATTCCTTCACCCGCAAGCCCTGCTCACCTCCTTTCTACTCTTCTTATGAGTTCGATTTTTCTTAGTTTCCACATACAAGTGCTGTTATGTAGGATCTGTCTTTCTACTAACATCTCATCCTTAATTACACTGGAATGACCTTCCTACCTGCCCCAGGAAACTGAGAACAGTTTTCAGCCATTCATTCATTTTGATAAACGCCACTGTACACCTGAGATGTCCCAGTCCCCAAACAAAGAACTAGGGATAATTAGCTGATTAAGACCCTTGTCCCCCGGGAGCAAAGAAGCTCCTGGGAAAACAGACACATCAATGTCTAATGCTGCTACAGAGGATGAGAGTAAGCATGAGGAGGGAGGTGACTCGGGCTGAGCCCAGGGCTCAGACAGGGATGAGGACGGGGCTCTGATCTGCAGATACTCACTAGTGGAGTTGTCATAGAAGGTGTCAGCATCTTCCTCAGTGCCGTTGCCTCCGAAGAGGGCTTTGTAGTTGTTGTCCTCGTACCAGTTGAGAGATTTGATCTGCAGGCCCCCACCCTCGGGATGGCCACAAACGATGCGGGACACAGCTTGGTATATCTGGGTGGAGGAGCTGGAGCTATTCACATTGGTCAGAAACATCACCTCCTGCCGCATGTCACTCCAGCTCCTCATGCTGAACAGCTGAGGTGAGGGATGGGAAGAGAGGAGAGAGGAGGACCAGGGAAGCAAGGGGCAGAGCAAGCGTTGGGACAGAGAAGAGAAAGAAACACCTTATTTTCTCTAATTTTTTCAGGCTGGCTTTATTTTTTTAAAATTAATTTTATTGTTATAATTTAGATATACATAACGATCACATTCATCATAGGGAATTTGTACCTGCATCGGATATATTTTAGTTCCTCTTTTTTTCCCATTCTTGGCCTTTCAAAAGCCATGTTGCAGAATATATTTTGCTTGACATCATCTCAAAGCCTTGATATGGGTTTGCCAGAACCTTCCTTCCCTATCTGTGGTGCTGGGACCTGAAGCATATGCATTATCTGAGACATTGTTTGAAATACAGATTCCAAGATCCCTCTGCAGACCTGCAGAATTCACACTTGGTTTCTCACCAGATGCCCGGAGAATTCCTGTGCCCATGAAGGTGTAGGGAGCACATCCTGGAAGTCAGAGGAGTCCCTGTGATGGCCTTTATTTCACTGGATTCTAGCTTGCTGGAGAGAATGCCTTCTCTGCATGGCTGTATTTAACCCTCAGTCTACCAGGAACTGCTCATGATCCCTGACTCATTTTTAAAAACATCTTAAACTGAAAATTAAAAAGCCAGCCCTCTTTTCTTTGGAAGAAAGTAAATGCATGAAGTTCTCTACCCTGGACTTAGTGAAGTTTCAAGAAACTGAAAAACGTAAGGTGGGACATCTGATTTTGAGCCCTAGTGATGCCCCCTCTCATTGGTCTGCAGCCTTAGAAACACCATATACATCTCCAGGACCAACCTGTCATTAAGGTGATGAAGCTAGAGCAGAACACGGGCAGAGTAAATGACGCACTGCATGTGCGATGGCCCTCACAGAACAGTCCTGAAGATGAGGAGTCAAAGGCCTCAGGCAGCCAGGGGCCATGACTGTGACTCAAGTATCAACTGTACATAATTGGCAAGTATCAATTGATACATAAGTATCAATAAACACACAGTACCTTGCCTGACATACAAATGTCCTCCAGTACCTTGTGGGGTTCTTGGCCCAATTGCTGTTATTAATTATTTGTAGAGTACTTCGTACTTCCACACGTTTCATAATAAATCACTACTAAATCCCCACATTCCTTCAAATGTCACTGCATGGTCTCACTCCCTAGAAAGACTGAGCTGCGGAGAGCAGGGGGAGAGGTTGCTGGATCCTGCATGTAACCTGGAGAACCCATGTGCCCAATTTTCTACCTCCCTCATCTGCTGGCTTAGGTGAGTAAAGTGATCTTGGATACTGTAGGTCCTAACCTCTGCCTTCTGCCGCCAGTCTGGAACTAGGCTGGGGCGGGGAGGATGTCACACAGATTTGTCTCTCCAGAGAGGAAGTATCTAGCACACTTCACAGAAATACAATTAGGTGGACAGCTTTTCCTTGCTTTATCATTACATAAGCTGTCTTGGATATGGGGAATAGGGACAGAAAAGGGAAAGGCAGCCAGACTTTCTTTCCTTTTGCTGGTTGACGGAACAGCCCTGTGTATTTGTAAATGATAGTGAGACAAAGCCACTCACTTATCTTTCCACCGGCTGCCTTACCCCCACCTCCCAACCCAAGGAATAAATTTCCTCCCACATAAAGGCAGAAGAACATCTTTTAGACAAAGGTATCATCATTCCTGAGTCATTTCTGAAGGGTGGCTCTTCCCAGCACCTGCCTTCACAGTTGTTATGGCTTGTATCTATATGTACCCCCAAACCCTTATGTGCTCACCGGTGGGGCTTTTCAGAGGTGGTTGGATCTAGGGTGTGTGAATGAGGACTAAGGGTGTATAATACTGGGATTAAGGGTTTGTGGTACTGGACTAATCCATAACTGGTTTATCATAGTTCTGGGTGTGGATAATGTGAAGGCCCACTCTGGGTGGGTGGCACCATCCAAAAGACTTGTAGCCTGGATAAGACAAAAGAGAGAGGGATCTTGCTGCTCTGCTGCTTTGTTGCCTTCTGCTTGCCACACCATGAACTATTTCTCCTCTACCATGAACTATTTCTCCTCTGCCATGCCGCTTTGCCATGCCACCTCTCCTTGGAGCCAGCCAATTGGACTGAAACTAATATAGATTGAGCTGAAATAAACCTTTTCTCCTTTAAATTGTAGGTGTCGGGTATTTTGTCCCAGAAACAAGAGAAGTAACTAAGATAGAGATCAACTCCAGATCACCTTTCCACAGCTGTTTAAGCTTCATACTTCCTCTACAAAGAGCCATGACTCACAGAGAGGGTGGCCAAGGCGACTGGTGATGCTGTTTGATAATTGTGTTGAGTGAAGGAATGGGCCACTGATTTACTGCTTTCTTGATCCACTGCAATGGCCTTCATCCACCCCTCTTACTTCACAATCCAGGAGCGAGAGAATGAACACTGTAAACTCTAGATCTCACCACACCCCCTCTGCTCCAAGCCCTTCACTCCAATCTTCAGTCACCCTCTCACCCTTTCACTTTCTTCTGCCCCCACGGGCCTCTTCCCTGGTCCTTACACATGTCATTAAGCATGCCCTAGCATCAGTGTCTTGGCATCTTGGAGTGCGCTTCCCTCTACATGGACATACTACCATTTCCTTGAGGCTGACAAGTCACCTTATCAGCAAAGACTGAAGAGTCACCTTATCAGCAAAGATTGGCCAGCCGCCTTATCAGCGAGGACCTCCCTAGTTACTCCCTTTAAAATGATGCCTCGTCACTCTCTGACCCTCTTTACTCAGCTTTATTGTTCTGCACTGCACGCACCTCTGCTGTCACATTATACACTGACCTGTTTGTTTCTCTCTCCCACCCAAAGACGACAGAGAAGTTACTACGTGTATGTGTAACTGAGTCCTTAATATCTAGCAAGCTTACACCCCCAGGGTATCTGTGACTCTGCCTCCTGTCTTGGGTTCCCAATCTTGTCTGGCAAACATTCTCCACCATCCAGATGTGAAATTCATATCAGCTCTGATTTTTTCTCACTCCCAAGGTCCCCATTTCCACCCAGTTCCTAGGTCTGCTAATAGCTATCTTCTTCCTTTGGAGACTCTGCTCTATTCCAACCGTCGACTCTGTGACAAACTCTTGGAATAGAAAGGACCAAATAAAAGCACGGCCTTTGGAATCTGTTGGTCCTGGATTCAAATCCCATGAGATCAGTTAATTCCTAACTCCGGGCAAGTTGCTTGATTTTTCTGACCTCAGTGGCATCTGTAAAGTGGGCACAGTTAAGATCCACCTCACACGTGTCCTATGGATTATCTGGGGAAAGCAGGTGACTCTGCCTGAACCAAAGCAGTTCCTCAAAAAACGCTGGCTCCCCTTTTCTTTTCCTTTCAAAGAAATCAACCTTCCTTCTAACACACTGACCAAACAAGTACATTTACTTATCTTCTCCTATTTGCTATTTCATAGAAACAGCAAGTTAAACAATGCTTAACTAGTGATCAACGTGATTTCAAAGGGTTCTATTGGAGTAACAGGTGGCCTTTGCTTGTCCTAGACCGAGAGCAAGCAGGGCACAAAAAGCAGCTGCCATGAAAAAATGTGTATCCATTAGAGAGTTTCTACCACACCAGCAATGGGAGTATCACATGCTTTATTTTTTTTACACCAGACAACAGCACAGTCAGTGATGTAAGAGAAACAGCTGTGATAAACCTGAGTTTAGACATGGCCTCCCCTGTTACTACCTCTACTTTGCTTTCTCCAAGGCCAGACATGAAGACGGGCAGGGAGGATGAGAGAACCTGCTAGAGCATTGCTAGACACATCAAGGTCAGCTAATGGGCCCTGGTGAAATGGCTGTAGCCTTGCAGAGCAGTTTCTCTTTCTCTTTCTGGCTCCTGAAAGAATCCCAGTTGGCCCTTCGTCTCCACACAGCCAGAGGTCACCAGCCTTCATAACCAGAGCAACTATGACAGGCTGGAAGAGGGCTGCTCCTGAAAGAAGACCTGAAACTCAAGCCTCTTCCGTCAGAGACACATAAGCAGAATTAGAGAGAAAGAACAGATCAGAGCAGAACAGAGAGAAATACACTGAACGGCTGACAGTGTTTACTCGGGATTTTTCGTATTTTCCCAAATGTTTTATATTCTCCAGATGAACATGCAATACTGTTTTTTTTTTTTGCTTTTTCTCCGGTACCGGGAACTGAACTCACGACCTTGCACTTGCCAGGCAGGCGCTTTGCCGCTGAGCTAAATCCCCAGCCCCCATGCAATACTGTTATTGTCAGAAAAAAAGTAAATTTTTATATTTGAAAGTGATGCATGCATAAAATTGAGTTAGAGAAGCAGCTAAAAGATGGACCAAATCTGAGAAAAATTCTCCAATATTATTTTCTAATATCCAACACATGTAAGTCTCCCTTGTTAGTGACCACTGCTTCCTTTCCCAGTACAGTCGGCAATAAGAGGGTGGAACACTGACTGACTTAGGAGTCTGACTTAGGAGTCAGAGGAAAAGGTAACTGCTTTTGTAAGCACCTGCAGCGGCTCTGATTTTTGAGTTAAGATTACTCTGACACATTAGTCAACGTGTGAAGCGAAAAGGCCAACTGAATGTAATGTTCATTAACAGATCATATTCCAGAGTTGAACCCGAGGCCAGGTTTTACAAGGGAAGGGCTGTATTAGGTGTGCCGTGTTATTCTTGTTCATCAGCAAATTCATGTTTTAGTAAAATGACTGGATGATCTCGCTACTAAAAAGCTATATGCAGAAGTTGCTAGTCAGACAAAAACAGTGCTTGGAAGGTCAGACAGAGAATCCTCCTCTTTACAAATATGTGATTATCTAGGGACAGATAGAAACCAGGGGAGAAAGCTCTAGACCAGATATGGGTCTTCTAGCCACTAACTAATTTGCTCTGAGACATGGATAAGTCTTCAATTTTTCATCGCTGAAGTAAGAAGATCAAAACAGTTCATTCTTAAAATTGCTTTTGCTTCTAAAATTGTCATTCCATCTCATGTTATATTCAACTTAAAAGTACTCTCTTAGCCAAACCCTGAACTGAATGGTCTGTATGAATGGTCTGTTGCCTAGCAGTAGGAAGACACAACTTACCTCTTGGGCCAGATTCCCAAGACTGTCCAGTAACGTTCTCGTGGCTTCAGCCAGGTGCTCAGTTGGCAAGGGAGATGTAGAGTTCAGTCCTTTCTGGAATGAGAAAAAAATTGCTTCATTTCGGAGCTCGACTGAAATCCTCAAATCTCTATCAATAATAAACAAATAGATCTATCCCCAATCTGTAACTTAAAAGAGCAAGAAATTGACTCCTAACCAACATAAAGAACACAACAATTATTAAAACATATGTATATTGTATGTATATTTTTCTTTGGATAAGAATTTCTAATTCTTTCATGAATGGCTGTAAATGTTGTAGGAATGTACATATAAAGCCAGTTACTATGCAATAGATAAGAACATCTCATGGTGTACATGTTCAGTACCATTCTGACCACCAATTCTGTCCAGATTCTGCAAGACACATGTTATAAATTGACAGATCTCAATTCACCCATAGTGTAAATTGACACCTCTCAGTTCTGTCTAGATGCTGCAAGACACATATTGTGAGAATGGCCCTGAGAAACTTTGTGATGGCTCATGAACGAGGAAGGAAAGGTAACGTTTCCAGCTATCAAAAGTAGAGGAAAAGAAATTCTCTCCACTTTCTGCCCAGCACTGTTTCTAACCCTGGAAGTTTAATAGAGAACTACTTTATTTTTATGTCTAGTTTTAGTCAGGTCTTTATATTTACCAATTTAGATCTTTAGTTCTATTATGTGCCGCCTAACTGAGCAGTAAATATAAAAAATAATTAGGTCCAAGGGAAACATAAATTAGGATGGAAAGCCTGAAGAGTGAGCAATAATGCACAGGTAATGCTGCGGTCAGAATTTCAAGCGAAGCAGCCTCAAATTTAGTTCTGAGTTTTCAGGCTTCCAAAAGGGAAAAATGAACTATATATAAAATTTCATCATTCTTATTAGACAAATAATAAAATCGAGGGGGGGGAATCCAAGAAAAATGTATCTTTTCTAGGTACTTCTATTCCACAATGGAGGGAAAGTTGGACTATCTTGATAGCTGTCATTCAGAGATTGCCATGCAATTTTAATGTTAACTACACAGAATATATCTAGAAGTGGATGCAACTATCTCTGAGAAGTAGCAATCTGAGGTGGATTCTTTTAATAAGAACTCTAAGTGTAGATTAGGTTATTATCATCATAGTCACCACAATACCCAAGCATACTCCTGAATGTGCATGTTCAAGAAATCTGCCCAAAGGTTCTGTGAAAGAACTTGCCCAGCCTGATTCAAGGGCTCTTCCAGTATGGCTATGGGAGTATTCCCATGTGCACAGCCCCCACAGGGACCTATGGTCTCCCATGAACTCTACACTGAGGGAGGTCTCTATGACACAACTCAGACTGTGTCAATAATTATCCTTTTAGAGAGAGGAAGTCAGGCCTGGGGGTTTAGCTCAGTGGCACAGTTCCTGCTTGGCAAGCGCAAGGTCATGAGTTTGATTCCTGGTACCGGAAGAAAAACCAAACAAAAAAAATAGAGAGAGGAAGTCATAAACAAAAGCTCCGGGTGTTTTGTTTTTGCTTTCTATCTTTGGTCTCACCTTAAAAGACTAACACGCTAGAAATTGAGACTATCAAAAATTAAGGGGTCTAAAGTGAAAGCTACCAAAGGCAAAGTGCTGTTGTGTTTACTATAAGAACCATAGATTCAATGTGCAGGAATGTACAGCAAAAACACAACACTCACGTGTTATGGTTGATATATTGTGTCAACTTGGGGAGTCTAGAGGTTTGGCTAAGTGACTTAGCAGGAAGCTAGAGTGCTTACTTTGTATACATCCTGAGCCTGTGGAAGAGGAGGGCATGGAGATTATGTGAGAGCTACACGCCCCTTAGGTGGGGGTAGCCTGTTTACAATGTAAGGCAGGGAAAGAAGCTGCTTGCCGCCATTCCTCCCTTTTGCTCTGGCTGCATTGCTATTCGGCTGCCATTCCCCCTTGCTCTTGTTGCTTTGCTGGCTTCTGCCTTGGAGCCAACCAAGTATGGACTGAAACCTCTACAAACTGTGAGCCAAATAAACCTTTCCTTGCTTCATTTTGGGCGTTGGGTATTTTGTCTCAGCAATGAGAGAAAAGTAACTAAGACACCATGACAAAATAAGAAAAGTCCAATTCACTTAATGTAAATTTTCAAAGCTTAACATGTGCTTGGTGATCCCTTTCTTTTTACCAAGTCTGAACAGAAATAAGATTTTTACAATTTTCTCTTGTCATCCGGGCAAATGACTTGAGGTGTCCTACCTCCATATCCTCAAGAAACAGCACAGCTAATAATGTTGGGCATACGCCAGCGAGTTTTCATGAGCACTAAATTACAGTACATGTACGAAGTTCCTTGCAGGGTGCCTGGCACGTGGAAGTCCTCACGATGATAAACAGCTCCATCCTCTGCTCTTCAGCAAAACTGAAGATTTCCTTCCTCAACGGTCTGCAGTAAAACGGGAGAGCTCCCATCTGCAGTTTACAGTTCTTATAAAACAAATGTCCTTCTCCTGTTTCTTGCCATCTTTTGAACTTTTTTTCTTGTTAGGATGTTCTTCCTCCACTAGGCAGAGAGCTGGAGTAATCACCTCACGTCACATCAGCCATACGCCAACGTGCTCTTTACAAAGTTATGAATATTTCTCACTGCAAGGCCTTAGCAGTGAGGACTTCTTAAAGTCTTCACCCTAATTCCTACCAGCTTGGGGTAAACTTTCTTTCTGTCCCCCATAACCCTTTTGTTTTACTCAGTATTTGCCAAACTAGGAAACACAAGACAATGTGAAGTAGATAAAATATTTCTTCCACTTATTTTCAGTGTGTATATACATGTGTATATGTATAGTATACACACATATATGCATTTGTAGATATATATGTATTTCTTACACACACCTTGGCCCAAAGTTGACATTTAAATTGAAAAACCTGAAGGAACATGTATTACCTTTGACTGTGTGTTATGTGTGACTCACACACATACACACACACACACACACACACCCTTTTATTTCCAGTGTGAATTCATGTGAACTGCAGGCACTGAGCATTTCTATACCGTGCTTACAGAGTCTGTCTTTCCCAGTATTCTCTGCACAATTGTGGGGCTTGTGCATTACATATCTGGCCCCCACACTATCATCAGTTGGGAAGCATCAGAAGAGAACCTGATCTGCTCACTTGTCCCCAAGTAGACTCCAGATGATGCCAATCACTTGTGAGGCTAGTGTGTCACACCCATCAGGTGCATAAGGCTCCAAATGCAAAAGATGTTTCTGAGAACCTCAGACCCGACACTGGCCCACTGTCACCAGTGCCAGGCACCTGTTCTCTGCAGGGCAAAAATCAATGGGCAGTTCATGCCATTTTACAGTGTGTTTCCTCCATCTGAGTAGATTTACAACTCTGTAGGTAATGATTTTTTCCTTCAAGTTTGTCCATTTAAATTTCTGAACTTTTGGGCAAACTTATCCTTCTTGCTTTAAAAGTTTTACAATTTATCAAAACTTCATGGATGGAGTAAGACCTACTATATGACTGCTTATCACAGGAGTGTATTTCACCACGGATATAAACACCAACAGTCCATTAAATTTACCTGAGCATCAGACCTCTATATAAACCATGTCTTATTACACGACTTTGTTGTCAATAGTCCACGCTTTGGTCTGTTGGCTTGTTTGACTGACTAATTCTAGTTTTTATCTCTAACAAGAGCCCTAGCTGAATCTATTCCATCCACAATAATAGGTAGAGCAATCAGTGCCACTGTGAGGACTCTTTTAAACTAGCCATTTATTTAAGAATAATGTTCAATATTAATTAGCAGTAATGACAACTAGCTGTCTATTCAAACAAATGTCCGTGTAGAAGTGTTATAGATAGATTGATAGATACATACATAGATAGATAGACAGATAGAAAGACAGATAGAGATAGAGACACACACACACACACAGAGAGAGAGGCAGGCAGGCAGGCAGACATTATAGGATTAAAAAACTTTACACACAATTCAAATTCAACATTAAGTTTCAAACATGGATTACATTATACAGATATTCTGCCCAAAATTTCACTTTATTTTTCTGTGCTTGAACATTATAAAATACAGAGAAGATATTGAAGCAAATCAGCAAAATGAGCATTACAAACTGACAGGGAAAGGGTAAGCTATTCAGTAACCACACAGGTATAACTTGCTATTCTTATTAATAAGAGCATTTAAATATATCTTCCATTTTACACCACAATACAAAAATGAATTCTTGGTTGAATAAAGAGTTTAAAATAAAAGTTAAAGTCCAAAACATATAGGAGAAAATAATATAAAATACAAACTTGTAGTAGGGTAAACTTTCTTGATGAATATACAAAGTTCCCAGACCAAAAAGGGAAAACAAATGAATCTACATTTTAAAAGAAAAAAACTGTGCATCAAAAGGTAATATAAATCTTACAAAGCAAGCCAATGAATTTTTAAAATTTTAGCATAAATGGAATACTAGGCAGCATTTAAAATTAACCACATGCCACATATATCAACACTGATGAATCTCAAAGCATAATAGTGACTAAACAAGAAAAGTAGCAACTCAAATGCACATTTATATAATGTGAACACATTTAAGTCAATACTATCTATTGCAACTGACAGAATGTAAGTATATGTGGTACAGAGTATAAAGACATGCAACTCCACAATAGGGCTTATCTTTAAGGAAAGAGAGAGGGGTATACAATGGCAGCAGGTGAGCAGATGAATCTACAATGTTTTATTTCTTGAGCAGAATCTGATACGAGTTCAATAAACGATGGATGTTATTTCATGGATGTTCTTAACGTCACTCTCTACCTCTGTATGGTTGAAATACTTCCTAACTTTCTTTTATAATTCAATGAAAGATAAAGGAGGGAAGATGGCTGAGTAGAGATGAAGAAAGACTAAAGGCTATACCTCAGCCTGAGTACATATCAGATCTAAAGACATCCAAAGTCCTCAGATAAAATTAGCCTCAGGAAACAATTCATGCCTTGCAACTAGACCAGAAAATGATGCCCAAGAGCCATGTGTTTG